AATCTCCAAAAAGAATACTCTGGGATTTCTTTTATTTTGCAGTATGTCCTAGAGAAACAAAGTACAATGATATCATATTTAAATATTTATACATACTGTCATAAACATATAAACCACTACTAATGAACGGGGATGAGGAGAACACAGGGATGGGGGGTGAGGAGAACACAGGGGTGGGGGGTTAAGGAGAATACAGAGGGAGGGTGGGGGAGAGGAAAGACCACTAAAGGGTTAAGGGGTAGGGCAGAGCTCTAAGGGACAGAAGAGAGAGCTCTATAGGACAGGGGACGGGACAGGGAGCTCTTTCACACTACGCGCACAACAGTTTTAGATAATTTGCACATATTTGTGAGAACTGAAACATGTTAATCTGAGTGTGTGTGGTTGGATTTAGTTATTGTGCACTTTTTTAATGTATATTTGATTTTATGGTACAGTGGTGTTTTTTGCAAATGTTCAATTGTTGAAAATGTTCAAATTTTATGCACATATGCAACAGCAGTATTTGCACTGTAAACATTTTTTGTTTATGCACAGTATATGCAACAGCAGTATTTGCACTGTAAACCTTTTTTATTTATATAAAGTGTGGGTGAACCTAAACTGTATGGCTATGCTGTGGTTCCTGTAGGCTTTGCGTGTGCGTGGGGGCTTGAGGGAGGTCTGGACTCCCAAATTCCTTCAAACGGCCCTGATGCTGAGCCCATTCTCATTTCTGAGAGTGGGCTATTGATTTGTAAAAATTACTGCTGCTAAAGACAACCCACTAGGGCTGTCAATCAAGCAGCCTAGAAGACCTAGTACCTGGTTGCTTATATGAATTTTGTCAATACAGAGCATGTAGCACTCACAATAGAGAAGGCTATCTCTGTTTATGTAAATCAATGTATTTTCATTTACCTACATGATTTAGTGAAAAGTAATGCAAATAAAAGAAGTAAAATTAATATAGTAGCTTTATAGGTTGTTTTTTCAATGCACTGTTGCAAGCTCCCATAGAAGAAGCTGTTCCCGTACACCTCCACCCAGTAGGAGTTTATGAAAACGTCGACGCTCGTCCTTAGGGGCAGCTCGTACATTAAACTATATAATTATTTTTTTCTGTTGCAGTTTTAATTTTTTTGTGTGTAAATTTACACCCCTTAGATGTGCCTGTTTGATCATATATGCATTACGTCCTTTTAATTATTAGTACTGCAGTTTTCATCACCTCCCCCATATTATGCCCTTCTACTGTTGCCAGGGAGAGTAAAAAATAATTATCAGATTTTTGGGTGTTTGCCACAAAATATGATTAAATCATATGAGAAGTTTGTGCTACACGGTCATTGGCTGTCTGACAGAACCACGTTGTTTGCCAATGCTTCCTTTTTGGGTGACAAATAAGCTGCCAGAAAAGACAGGCCTTCTTACTGGTCTATTATTAAGGCTGTCAGGTTCTTAGGTTGTTTGCCCCCAGTGGGTGGATTGGCAAAACTCCACTTCCCCTGATTCAGCATTCAGGATCGCTCAGTAAGATATGAGGCTGGCTTCCCTTCTCTTCCTCTCCCCTTCCCGCCCCACCAAGCACTTGCAGCCGACTGCTCTGTTCTGGGTCCTCTACAATGGTCGCAAGCACTGCGTTAACATCAGGTGCCTGCCGCCATGCTTACAGACTCTTTGTTTGGCGCCATCCTATGCAGTGAAACCATTAGGTGCCCTAATAAGATTAAAAGAGGGCCCCACAGTCCCTGCAAGCAACAAGGCTTGCACTTGAGCTTCTCTCCTCACTCTCCAGCTCCCACAGTATACAGGGAGTGCAGAATTATTAGGCAAATGAGTATTTTGACCACATCATCCTCTTTATGCATGTTGTCTTACTCCAAGCTGTATAGGCTCAAAAGCCTACTACCAATTAAGCATATTAGGTGATGTGCATCTCTGTAATGAGAAGGAGTGTGGTCTAATGACATCAACACCCTATATCAGGTGTGCATAATTATTAGGCAACTTCCTTTCCTTTGGCAAAATGGGTCAAAAGAAGGACTTGTCAGGCTCAGAAAAGTCAAAAATAGTGAGATATCTTGCAGAGGGATGCAGCACTCTTAAAATTGCAAAGCTTCTGAAGCGTGATCATCGAACAATCAAGCGTTTCATTCAAATAGTCAACAGGGTCGCAAGAAGCGTGTGGAAAAACCAAGGCGCAAAATAACTGCCCATGAACTGAGAAAAGTCAAGCGTGCAGCTGCCACGATGCCACTTGCCACCAGTTTGGCCATATTTCAGAGCTGCAACATCACTGGAGTGCCCAAAAGCACAAGGTGTGCAATACTCAGAGACATGGCCAAGGTAATAAAGGCTGAAAGACGACCACCACTGAACAAGACACACAAGCTGAAACGTCAAGACTGGGCCAAGAAATATCTCATTAGACTGATTTTTCTAAGGTTTTATGGACTGATGAAATGAGAGTGAGTCTTGATGGGCCAGATGGATGGGCCCGTGGCTGGATTGGTAAAGGGCAGAGAGCTCCAGTCCGACTCAGACGCCAGCAAGATGGAGGTGGAGTACTGGTTTGGGCTGGTATCATCAAAGATGAGCTTGTGGGGCCTTTTCGGGTTGAGGATGGAGTCAAGCTCAACTCCCAGTCCTACTGCCAGTTCCTGGAAGACACCTTCTTCAAGCAGTGGTACAGGAAGAAGTCTGCATCCTTCAAGAAAAACATGATTTTCATGCAGGACAATGCTCCATCACACGCGTCCAAGTACTCCACAGCGTGGCTGGCAAGAAAAGGTATACAAGAAGAAGATCTAATGACATGGCCTCCTTGTTCACCTGATCTGAACCCCATTGAGAACCTGTGGTCCATCACCAAATGTGAGATTTACAAGGAGGGAAAACAGTACACCTCTCTGAACAGTGTCTGGGAGGCTGTGGTTGCTGCTGCACGCAATGTTGATGGTGAACAGATCAAAACACTGACAGAATCCATGGATGGCAGGCTTTTGAGTGTCCTTGCAAAGAAAGGTGGCTATATTGGTCACTGATTTGTTTTTGTTTTGTTTTTGAATGTCAGAAATGTATATTTGTGAATGTTGAGATGTTATATTGGTTTCACTGGTAATAATAAATAATTGAAATGGGTATATATTTGTTTTTGTTAAGTTGCCTAATAATTATGCACAGTAATAGTCACCTGCACACACAGATATCCCCCTAACATAGCTAAAACTAAAACAAACTAAAAACTACTTCCAAAAATATTCAGCTTTGATATTAATGAGTTTTTTGGGTTCATTGAGAACATGGTTGTTGTTCAATAATAAAATTAATCCTCAAAAATACAACTTGCCTAATAATTCTGCACTCTCTGTAGAGACATCCTGATGCTAATCCAGTTAATCCCGCACAACTTCAAAAGCAGGTTCCTGCCACCTTGTATCCGCACTCCCCGCCTCACTTTATGCTGGCAGGTGGGTCTTGTTAGTAAGGGACCGCTTCAACAGCAGGTTCCTGCCTCCTTGTCTGCCTGTCTCCCTCCTGTACATGAAAGCAAGGCAGGGACTGCTTAAATCATTGGGTCCCTGTCATAATAAGCTTAAAATAGACCACCTCTGACCCTTCCTGAGGCCCTAAGCCCAGCACCCTACAATGCCACATGGTGCCAGGCACAGGTGCCTGCCACTAAAGCCACCTGGCCACTGGGCAAGATGATCACTGGTATATTCAGGTATGTCATTTCTCCAGTAAGCTGCTTACTTGTTTTATGTATTTATTTTTAATAATTTTGTTTAAATTTTAGTTTTGAAATATTCTCAGAGAAAAGGCAGTGTTTACACTGTTGCCTTGGGACATCTCTAGTGGCAGCCACTAGAGGTGCTTCCTGGGTCAGTGCCCTACATTCGACATCTCCTCACTCTGTATGGAGATGCTGAAATATCCCCATAGAGATGCATTAAAGAAAGATGATATGGCACTAGAAAAAGGGCAGAGACGAGCTACAAAATTGATAAAAGGACTGGAGCATTTTAGTTATGAAGAAAGGTTAAAAAATTTAAATCTCTTTAGTTTGGAAAAGTGGCACCTGAGAGGGGATATGATAACATTATACAAATATATTCAGGCCAGTACAAACCATTATCTGGAAATCTATTCATAAACAGGGCTATACATAGGACACAAGGCTGGAAGAAAGGAGATTTCATCTAAGGCAAAGAAAAGGAATATGGAATTAGGTGGTTTTGTCAGAGTCTATACAGATGTTTAAACTGCAATGGGATAAATACTTGCAAAAACATAACATACAGGGATTTAATTTCTTATTAGTGGGGTAATAGCTGCTTGATCAAAGGAGACATCTGACTGCTATTTTAGGGTCAAGAAGGAATTTTTTCCTAGTTTGTTGCAAAATTGGAAGCGCTTCAGACTGGGTTTTTTGCCTTCTTTTGGATCAACAGCAAAACAAATGTGAGGAACGCTGAACTTGATGGACGCAGGTCTCTTTTCAGCTATGTAACTATGTAATACACAAGACTTTAATACACAACATGCATTAGCTATGGACAGCGACACACTCTTCAGTTTGCACAGGAACAAAACTTGATGCAAAAAACAGGATATAACTATGGTAAAGATTAATTTTATTTAATGCTAGACAACTTATGAAAAAGTACCTAGAGGGAACATAAATTGCAAGACCTGCAAAGCACGAGGGCAATTATGATTTGGTTGTTATGTGAACAAATATTTCTTCTTTTGCACTTTCAGACTGAAGAAGAGCCCACATGGGAGAACCCAGTCAATGTCAGGACTGGAATCAGCTGATGAGGCAGAAGCTGAGGCTGGACCGGAGGTTGAACCTGAAGTTGAAGTTGATGATTCCACCCTGAACATGTGTGGTTCAGTATGCTCATCCACTGCCAGCATGAACTAATAAATTAGTGCCTGTGAAAGAGTTCTTGAAGTTAAACAGTTTATGGTAATGTCCTCAGGCTGCATAAATTCTTAATAAAACTGGAACAGTTGCAGTCAAGTCTAGCTTTACAAGGAGTTAAACATACAAGGTGCACTAAGTTAGTTTTATTTTCATCTTAGCTGAGTTCTTTGTTGCTTATATTACTTGGAATTCTTTATCTAACAGACTAATATATTTTTTAAAGAATGGTGGGAATACTGTGGCATAACTGAGATTTGTGGGCAGTGCCTTGATGTACATCTAAGTGCAGGCTGCCTTTAACATACCAGAAGATACTATTTTTGTCTGAAATACATCTATGGAATTATGATGTAACAGTGATGCGATGGACAGGACAAAATTACCGCAGCCTAAAAAAGAAACCTGCAGCTTGACTATTGTCTAATGGTAACTTACACAATTTAAATATATACATCTTTTTGACAAAACCATACCGGGCAGGTACTGAAACCCACGTATGAGAATACATAAGCAGTACAAACTATGGTATTTCAATTATGTTTACCTTAAATGTTCAACAATGAAACAGAATCCTAGCATAACAATGTACTAAAACATGGTGATATTGAAAATGGGGGGGGGGTTTGTAGGGTCAAGGCTTCTCTTCCATGTGTCTGCTATAAACTGACTCTTCGTGGTTGGAGAAAGATGAACACTTCTACAGAATTCAGAATATTTTGAACATTATTTTGAGCAAATATGTCCGTTATGTGTACAGTTACTTTGGAGTATTGAATGGAAGTTCTATCATCCGTTGGGGGGGGTTTACAAATCGTATTAACCCAAGAAGTAAGTTTAACTTTTTTTGTTGTGCCAGACAAATTTTCTAAACCAATGAAACAAACAAAAAAACTACAAAAACAAATAAAACCAAAAACACTCTGAAAATGATCTCTTCATAACAGAATCAAGAGACTTTTTTTTTTTTCACTGATGAACAATAGGGGGGGAAAAATCAAATTGTAACCTGTTTGAAATTTCATTACTACCATACCCTGAGAAGTTTTTTTTGTTTTTAATTTATTTTTAATGCTGAGTGTAGTTGCTAAATGGAATTCTTTTATTGGGTCTGTGATAACACATCATGGTCAGGTACGGTAGTTTACAGGTAGCACTGTCACCAATAAGTAGTTACGTTATACTTTTTAAGCTCTGTGAATTGCCAGGGATAAGTGAACCCAGTATTATTATCACAGTTTATTGGAGCTGAAAGGTTTAATAGGTCGCATATTTTTTTCAAAGGTAAAAAGAACAAAAAAAAAGTAAGGGAGGCATATAGAATCAATCTTGTTTCTGCTCAAAGGGCTACTGTCACCTCAAAACTATTTTTAATATAATTGTGATAGTAGTTGCTGTGACTACGACCACAATAATAATCTTTTAATCAAGTATTTAAAGGCAATTGATTTTTAAATAAAGTTTGTGTTTAAACCCCCAAAAAAAAACGCATCTCCACCTTTAACAAATGGGGATGCCACCTTTAATATATGACAGAATCTTAGAACCATATGCACGCACCTTGGGCCGGATAGTGTTTTAAATCTGACAGTTAGTTTCTGTGGTTTTTCCTCCATCACTCCCTGTACAGAAGCAGGGAAGACCATAGAGACGAACTGTTGGATTTCAAACACTGTCTCACCCAAGGTGTATTTTTATGACTGAAGCATCCTGTCAAATACTAAAGGTAGGGATGAGTTTTTCTCTATTATTATGATTTGTTTATTTTTTATTTTTTTACATATACTTCATTTAAACAAAATCTATTTCATTTCAATACTGAAAATATTGTTATATTAAAAAAAAAAAATTACGTTTTGGTATGACAGTTGTCAGATTAACAGAAGAATGACGTGAGACCCTTTTAATAAGTTATATACTGTAAGTATAGCACAATTAATTCTTTCCTGTATTCTTTTGATTTAACTGAAGGAATGATAAGGTATAAGACCCTATGAATAATAATAAGTAAGGTTCTGTGAGTAAATGTCCTGTATAACCCATTTCATTTGTTCTTGTATTCTTTGGAAGCCATGTGTATTCTGAATCCACATACAACTGAAAATGTTTTTACCCTTCCCATACTATACTATTATTGGATTGGTGAAAATGTTTGATATACATCAGGTTAAACACTTGAGTTTATGTGATCACAATTGTTCCAAAATGTGGCATTCTAACTGGGATCCCTGTAGCAAAGTAGTCCAGGCACTCAAGGTCTTCATACATCAGCAGATTTATTGGGGAAAAACAGGACAGATACAGCAATGTTTTGATCCCTTTAGGGATCTTTATCAAGCAACAGTGCACTGAGGTCTACAGGTGATGAGTGCGGATCACTCCCTTTTTTGCTGGAGCACAGATCCCAGCAGAAAACCACTGGACACCAGGGATAATGCGATGTGTGCATATGAATGTGTGTGAGTATGTGTATATGAATGCGTGTGAGTGTGTGTAATTTGCCTAACAAAAGGATATTGGGGCAATACAGAGTGATATACACACAAAAAAAACAAAACAATTCACTTCAAGTGAGGGTTTAAACATATATATTCTGCCTTGGTGTGGTACATGTCTGCAAATAACCAGTACTCCCAAATATTTATTTCAAACAGGGTTATTCACTAAAATGAGAAAAGTGATTTTCAAATTTAAGATCAAAATAGCCAAAATGGAAGAAATTTGCAAAGTCAGGTATGCTGTGATTAAGACTACTCCGGACTTGTATATTGAATACACTTTAAATTCTCACTTTAGTAAATACTTTTGTTAGTGTTTGTACGTGAACAGAACGAACACTGCAAACACCTCCTCTCATTTGATGGCCCGTACAGGCAATGTTACATTTACACATGTACATTGTGCCTGAAATATTTGTTTACAGTGTATGTGAATATTTTTTACGATATCTCGAAATTCCATATGGAATGTAACATTTAAGGACACATTTGTCACCTATTAGTATCCGCAATCCACATGTAAATCTCAATGTTTTCTGACTTCAGTGTGATTGCCGGCAGAAACAAGGCTTGTGAAATATGTATAGTGATCACTATAATAACTGTTGCACAATGCTACCCTGCCTTTCAAAAAACGATCTGTTACTGACCCTGGATTGTAATGTAGGCCATTGTTACAAATGTGTAGAGTATGGAAATATGCATTTAAACTATGGATGCTAAATCCTGGTAAATGATGCTGTATGAGACGTACGAACTGTGACACTCACTAAGAAAACGGTAGAAGTCTTCTCGCACCAATAATCTTGAACAGCAAAGAAAGTGATTCATTGTATTTTTTTTCCAGTAAACCAAGATACATTTTGGCTGACATACAGGAAGGAGAAAACAAATCAAGTACATTTCTCAGGCATATAAGGTGAAAATTTTTATTTTATTTATTTATAATTTATATTTTTATTGCTGCTATTTGCCATCCCTACTGTGCATACTAAATTTAGATGCACGTTTTATAATATTCTTTGATTTGATAGCTGAAATATTTCAGTAAAATTCTCCATATTGTGACAGTCCCTTTTCCCCTATCCATCTCCATGATTATATTTTTACATTTGATGAAACAATTAAGAAACTGATAGGCAAATAGCTAAAGCTTGAGATATAAGAACTACTGACTAAAAGGGGGGCTAGAATGCTTTTTTTAACACTATAGGGTCAGGAATACACATTTGTGTTCCTGACCCTAAAGTGTTCCTTTAAGTGTGAAATAACACCAGACCAAAAACCTATGTAAAAATAATATTAAAATGCTTAAAACTGCAAAGGGACATCATCAAAATTGAAAAGCACGGTATTGGCTGCATTAAAATGCCACAAAGTAGACCTATACTACCTATGGTGGGCTGTCAGTCTTGTGAAGCAAAAAAAGTCCCTAAACAAATCAAAAAACTATTTTAACACTTTAATAAAAATTATGCATTTACAAAGGTATTCTAATAAAAAAAGTTATCACGTACGCAATGGCCCCCTACTGTTAGCCATTTTGTATTAATTTAATTATCTTTATATTTTCTGATACGTAATTCAGAAAAAAAAACAATTATTAATAAATTAATCAGATTACAAGTTAGCAGATTTTTGTAATAAGAATTCTTGCCAAGGGCACATGTGTATGTCACTTATTATGTATAGTCTATAAGTTGGCACTGCTAAAAATGAGAGATGGCTGCTTTTTAGAGAATTATTTTTGGTAATTATGTTTATCTTTGTACTTATTTAGTATCAGATTTAATTTAATATGTTTTATAATTGGGGGAGGGGGGAGGGGTTAACAGGAAAACTAACCATTCAGTCGCCATCCTTATATATATGTATAAGAGTCTTTTTATCTGAATTTAAATAAAAATTCAAGCATTAGGAATGCAGACATGCTAGAGTGTCACATAACCTAGTTAAATTCTAAGTACTTCCTAATAATAAAGATAAGATTTTAGGTCACCTTATTTACCCCCGGCGCCGGCTTGCCTCTGTAAGTGGCTGAGTGACAGCCACTAGAAGTGGCGTTAGGCAACAATGTAAATGTATTTTTTGCCCCAGAACATTAAGGTGTGGTGGTTTTAATGTCTAGTGCAGGAGTAGGCAACCTTCTGCACTCCAGATGTTGTGGACTACAACGCATAGCATCATGGGAGGTGTAGTCCAAAACATCTGGAGTGCCGAAGGTTGTCTATGCCTGGTCTAGAGTATACCTTTAAGTAGACTTATTATTTTTATATATATATCTAATTGAGAGAATATCGAATAAAATGTCTGCCTTTTATTGTAACATGTTCCCTAGTCAGCCTGGTCCCTAGTCAGTAGATATTTTAATCTTGGTGGCATGGGGAGACAGAGAAGGCTTTTTCAGGAGAGATCAGCTTAGAAGAGGAATGATCAAATAGGGATCTCTTGTAAGACTGGAGCAGAGTGAAATGGTTTTGAAAAGGAATGATAAGGAAATGGATACAAAAATCAGGAAAGGAGGTGATGAGGAGAAAAAACTGACAGATTCAGATTGGATATGACATAACCATGGAGAGGGTTTGAATAGGACGACAGGGAATTGTGATTTATTGTAGGTAAATAATATTGAGAATAAGAGCGTTGGGGAACCTGAGTAATATTGGCTGAGGTGGAATCCACGTTTTGTGAACCATGCCTCTTTGAGTGTTACCACCTTCCCAACTCTACCCCTTTAGCAATCTGCCTACATTATTTTTTTAGTTTGTCTTTCAGAGTTGTTAAACCACTGTATGATGTTGTTACATGGTTAAATCAGAGGTACAGCTCTTGGGTATCTTGGCTGCCTGTGTTAACTGCTAGTCTACTGAAGATTTTCAACCTTCTGGGAGAATAATGGCGAAAATGAAGTGTTTAGATGAAGGATAACTCATCTATGTAAAATATTCTAACAAAGCAATGTGTACTTTTGCTGTACGGTTCCTTTAATTGAGTCTCCAAGAAATGTATCAATGTGATAGCATATCAAATACTGATGGGAAACAAAACATGCATGTTACAAAAATGTTTCACATTGCAATACCAAGACATTGTTTAATTGGAAAGACTTCCCCAGAATTCATTGCAGAATATGCTGTGAAGGTTCAATCATCCGAATTTTGCAATGAAACAAGACAGGGTAGTTTTTACGCCTTTGTAATTTAGGTAATAGTTTTTATAATATGTTTTTACAAAATGATATGTTTTTAAAACCTTTGTAAATTACCATACAATAATGTTTTTTTTAAAGAGAATAATTGTTTAGGTTTGGCATAGAAATGTAAAAACAAAAAGTGTATAATTATCAGATTTCACCTAGAGTCTCTAGATTTGAATGGTCATTTCCTGATTGAAGGGGATGGGTGTGCAGTTCTGTCTATCTTTGCCTGGCTCCACCACAGAACTTTCAAATCCAGTCCAGAGATAGGACTTAATATTCAAATTAGCCTCACGTACGTCAGTGGTTGTAGCAACCTCTGTTTACCTGGGGCAACCACTTCCCACTACCACTTCCTCTAGGAGGAGCACCGGGTATCATTTGTGGGCTAAGGTCATAGGTCACTCAATAAATATAAACATTATATATAATATACATGTGTAAAATAAAAACAAAAAAAGCCAGTGCACAACATTCCCTTTCTGACTTTCAATTTACTGAAAAAAATGTTGAAGAACAATTTCAAATTTAAAATAACTGGTGTAAAGTGGCCAACTGTAGTGAGAAGAATCAGGGTGGGCTATGTGGACATATTACGAAATTATGAGTGTCTGATTTAATACTTTTTTATTTATACTGAAATACAGTGCTTAAGGTACTAAGAGATACCGTCCTTTTGTTATCCCAGCCCGTGCCAATGGCATACCAATTGGGGTTGCAGTCACCCGATAAATCCCCGATTTAGTGGCCCTGATCTTGTTTTTATTCTTTATTGCATGGGAAAGAAGTCTGTGGCACATGAATCGTAGCCATCAGCCCAATGGTGCAAGTTGGAGAGTAAAAATCTATGGCAGGAGATCTATTTCATACTTAAATGTTTAAAGAAAATAGGTACAATATATTAAAGTCCACTTATTTGTAATGCAAAAGTTTAAAACTGCATGGGTATGCCATATTTCTAATTCAAGAAGTTGCTCTGCAGAAACTTTTACATTACCTAGATGCCATGAGCATTATACATCAATATTGTATTGTGAATGTAGACCGAAATTATGAAAACTCTGCATTAGGGCTTTAACCATACATTTTCCACCATGTAGCATTTGCATACTATATTGCCCATTCCGAAAAAAGATCTATATGTATTTTTACATATGTTTACATCTCTCCAGTTTGTAGGAAACATGGCGATGAGCCTGTAGAGTATCACCATATAGTAACAGGAGTCACACTTACTAGAATGCCTGAAACCAAGCTCTGTATTTTTTATAAACTTTTTTTCCATGGCAGTATTACAATTGTTAATGTACCAAACCTCCCCATCTATTTCCCTGTTCACACCTGGGACAGGTAGCTCTTAACATATGATGTTTTGGCTTACTTGCATTTTTCTGGTCCTTATCCCAAAGGAGCTCTGACACCTCTTAGGACATTGTTTTATTATTCTTGTTCGTTACTATCTTTTTAACATTTTATTTTTATTATCCTTCATTGGATACATGCTAAAGGTAAATTCTAAAAGGGCATTTACATTTTTCAGCCCTGAACGTGGGTTTTCATGTTCTTCATAGAAGGGAAAAAAATCAGTTTATTGTGAGGTGTGCAACAATAAGGCCCTAGTGGGAATGAGTCTTTGCCCATTGGGTAGTCAGGTTGTTGTGAGTCTAAGTCTTTCCATTACACAAAAACGTCTCAAAGCATCAAGGAAGCCAGCGAAACACGTGAAAGTCCCTCTTACACATCAGATTGTGTACAGGACTTTGTTTTTCAATCACTAAAGACAATACGGACTCCTAAATGGACGAGGGCCTTTCAACACCCTTAGCACCCTTGGACCAAAAGAGGATTGATCCACTTATCAGTGCCTTTAGGATGTGACACAGTCTTCAAGAGTCTCTGTAAGAGTTCTCCTTGAGTCATGTTGTCTTAATACTCAAAGTTCAGATCCCCGCTCTTTCAGCCCTCACTGCAATTAGAGAAGTGCTAAATGAAGATGCATTTCCTTAATGAGATACTTAAAGCTTTTCCACCCACAGGTAATTTACTATTAGTCCTTCAGTGTCTCATAGATCCTCCATTTAAGCTTTTGGATTAGGGTCCTTTGACCATTCTCTCTTGGAAGATTTTCCTCCTTGGAGCCTGAACCTCACAAGGATCACAGAATGTAAAGTATTCAGGCTTTTTCATGTGAAGCCCCTTTCACACAATTTCATGAAAAATAAAACTGCCCACAGAACCATTCCATAATTCAGGCTAAAGTTGGTGTTCTGTTTTAATGTTAACCAGAAGGTTATGCTGCCTACCTTGCATCCAATATCAGGTGAGGAAGAATGATGGTATAATTTAGACTAGGTTAGAGCTTACATTTCATGAATGGCTTTTTGAAGTAAATAATTGCATCTTTTCATTCTATATTCATGTGTCATTAAAAGCAAAGCCGTATCTTTTACTAATCTGAGTTACAAGATTGTATAAACCATCTCCAGTACCTACTGATAGCCCTGGTAGATGGCATCTGAAGATCCGATTGTCTTTTTATCTTGGTGTCAGTGGATGGTATCTCCCTTGGGCAGATCTGTTGTGAAGTCACATGGTCCTCTAAGAACATCTTTATGTGCCATTTTCATCTATATGTGTCTGCTGCTTCTAATAATTCAGCCTCAAAGTTCTACAAGTAATATTAATTACTTGCCATTTTGTCTTCAATATCTTTTCTATTTTTGTGTGTTTTATTTCCTTCACTTGTTCTGTAGCTTAGATATTACCCATTGTAATATTGCCATGGATATGGCTAGGGAAATGGAAAATGTATTCATAGTTACCACAATTTTAATTTCCTATTCATAGGCCACGACCGCACTAAGTTTCCTCCCAAACCTATTACTGTGTGAGGCTATTAGAAGGATGGAAGGGAAGGATTGTCTTCTTAGTTCATTGCCCAGAAGATGTAAGAGGAGGGATATACTTATTGTAATGCTGCCATGGCCTAGACTTAAAAATTACAGTATGGATCAATACATTTTCAGTTTTACAGAGAGAATCCATGTCTGTTCATTAACCAAAACAACCATGAAATATGACTACGGTAAGTTATCCATTGATAAATGAGGTTTATTAACTATTTGCAATGGAATTTCAAGTTATAACGATTTCTATATTTTTACAGTATTCATTTATACTACAATTCCTGTAGCTAGATATTGGACAAATTTAAATATTGACTCCATAGCATTCTCATTTATATCAAAATGTCTAATGTAATTAGCCACCTAGACTACTATACAGTTATCCGTATACAGACATGTATGCTCAGAGTATAGAATACCAAATTATATACAACAGCAGCTCATTCCCTGTCCCTTTTACATTCTCAAAATTACCAGTGATTACCCTTTGTCCTTCTTGAGGTTCCATGCATTTTCCCTCATGTGATCCTTACACCATCCCTCTTATTGCTCCCTTACTGTCCAATTTACTGGCACTCTCCTTACCACCTCTTGTGACACACTACTTATTTGTAGACCCCTCTTTATCCCTTTTGTGGTACCCTTTTTTGCCCTGACCCCCTGAATAAATTAATCAATCAGCCAGCTGGATACATCAACTACCAGCATTAGTGAATTTGAGAAAATCAATAGAAGGGATCTGGTACACACCAAGAAACAGAAGGGATTCAATATAGTTTCTTTGTCCTTCACCCCATGGGCAGATGGGGATTAATTGGGAAATGCACAATCATGGCACTCTCTTTTTACTCCAACCAATGTGCGGGAGAACATAAAAAACAATGTCACAATTCTGCAAAGGCCCATTAGACAACAGGCAGAGAACAAACCCATCTAGTTCTGCATCACATGGGCATTGGGCCATGGCATGGGATAATGTAACGGTGTGGGTATACTCTATGCACTGAAAAAACATTTTAGCTCTTTGTATATAACGATCCGTAAGATTCGATGACAGGTTCTTATATGATCTTTATTGAAACAGAGGTGAGAAGTGTCATTGTTCAAGAACACTTCAGCTGGCTTTTCGTTATACTTAAATAATCATGTGTAGCAGCTATCATCATCACTCAGGCTTCAAGTACAATAAGACTAGGAGGTGGATACAGCTTCATATTCATTATTATCCTTACTTCTAGTATCTGTTAAAAATATCTGTAGTGATTTTCCGATCCATTCATTGTTTGCACTTACGTGAAGCTGAAAGTCTCTTTAATGCATTGTATACATTTACTAGCCAGAAGGTTTGTACACACAACAGCAGTAATGTTTTAATTCACAAAATAAAACTGGCATTTCTTGCGAATGTGAAAACTGAATAAATAATAAAAAAAGGTTTCTCCCATGTACATCCAACTTGTATGATGTAACTGTATTTTTACATGAATGTAATTTTTATTGCATGGTCATCAAATACCACCCTGATATGAGCAAAAGTTTATGTGTGGCAAACTATTTGTTTTCTTTTTGCATACTTGCATTTATGATGTTATACAGGCAACTAAACATGTAAAATTAATTCCTAGGTAACTTTTATTTTATTTTGAAACAAGAATAAAAACTAAAAACAATATTCCTAATAATGGTGTGTGTGTCATTTAATGAATAAGTGTCTTCACATCGACAAGGGGTGATTTTGGTGCCAAAATATCCCATCATACTTAAAAATGGATGTTATCATCTTTGAAATATACACTTAACATCTGTTTTTTTTTTATGGAGCCCATTTGTTTCTATATGGGGCATTGCATAGATTTACTTTGGTATTATACATAAATCCACATTCACTTGGTCACAGACCAAGGTACCATTATATATTAGAACATCTCCATTCACACCATCATATACCATTTGATTGGTATTACAAGATTCAGCTTTGATGCAAAATATGAAAATCCACATAAATTAAAAACAAATTAAAAAATATGGCAAGTTAAAGGGATACTATAGTGCTAGGAATACAAAGTTGCATTGCAAAGTTGGCTTCTGGATGTGAAATGCATTTCTCTATAGACTAGTAATTATAACTAGAGTATAAATGAGGGTAAATGAGGCCTTATGAACTTCATTTCATCATACAAAATACATGAAACACGTTTTTATACTCCATTTTGGTAGTGAGGGGGTTAAAGATTACCAGTTCTTAAAGAGTCATTACAAATATGCAGTGCAATTTAAATAATATAAATACTGATATTTCCTCATATAACCTGTATATAACAATTACAATTGGCATACTCTATAAGGATGTGAAAATGTGGCGAATACAGAGTGACAGACAGAACGTGATGTATTCTCTAAACTCCAATTTCAAAGCTTGAGGCACAAAATTATCCAGCTCAGCTGTATTCCCACCTTATCTATTTTAGACTGAATTCGCGACAAATCACTGTTTAGTTACTATACCCCAAGGAATAAATCACATAATATTGTGAGCATCTAAAATGGTTGCATGATGTCACAGTCATGTTAATTAGTTAGTTTTATGCTCATGCAATGTTTTTTTTATTTACTGCTATATAAACAGATGTGGTCCAGAGGTCTTTAAAAACTTTGAAAGAGCCTATAACTTGGTGAAACGCGTTAGTGTATTTTAACATTTGTATTTATAAAAAAAAAAAGATAATCTCTTTTAACACCATTCTGGACCCTCCTGCAAGGTTTTTTAAAGAAGATTTTATCAAGCTATATCCTTGGTGGGGATTATACCACCTATGCGATTTGGATTGAGCAATAAATATATTCTGCTCCCCTTTTGTGAGCAGCTCTTATTTTATTTATTTTTAAGTTTGATTTCATACCAGTGAGCACCCATATTTGCAGTTTTATTTTTTCCAAACAAATCTATAATGGTGACCAACTGCTTTCAAGTTTGGAGATGCACACAATTTCTACTGCGATCAGATACAACTGCCAAGGCCCTACAGGACCACTACATCCATAGGCGGAGATTGTACCACCCAGGTGCTACCATCTGAAGCTGATCTATAGCTCCTGAAATTTGTAAGTGTGGTTTTTATACTTCTTTCAACCAATCTGTCAGAATATACTACACTATATTGTTTTCTCTTGGTTCTTTTTTTTTCTCCACCTATCTACTGACCATCTCCTGGATTTGAAACTATCTACAAGGTGCTGCTCACTTATTTCCAAACCGAACTTTACATTTCTTGAGGCTGTATTTTTAGCAAAAGCCTGTGAAATCTCTAGATAGCCTTGTTGGTAAGTTTTGACTTTTGACCACATATTTTATCATGTTTGTGGCATCATCATTACTTTTAAGATAGTTCTCTTAGATATGTAACCAGGTATTTATTTTATTTTATATATATATATATTATACTATTTGTCGCAATGCACCTGTAAGTTGGGCAACAAGTATTCAGCCTCTTTAAAAATCTGTTCCTATAGCCGCTTTGAAAGCTGTAGAGCTAATTATCAGACCTCTTTTATAGTTGACACAAGCTTCTCATTGGCAACTTACCTAAAATAACTCACAGAGATGTATTTACTTCTAAAATAAACTTTTTTCAAAATAAATTTTTTTGCCCACATATGTATATTTATATAGAAATTTAATTATCACAATATACAGGCTATATGTATTAATCTTTATTAATAACAACAAAAGTAATGACAGTGAAACATGCATAGTGTAACAGTATTATAAACAATATAAATACCTACATGTATTGTAAGTCAGTAGTGCTTCACCAGGAGTAACTATTCAATTGGGCAAGCTTTTAAAAAAAAAAAAAATTATCAAAGAAGGTTGTAAATCTTTAAATATTCCACTTGTGATAAATTAGAAAGCAGACAAATAGAATAGTAAAACTGTGTTTTCTTGTTTGTTTGTTTATGTTCATGACAACTACGGTTTCATTAAAAAGGATTTCAGTTTTGTGACAATATTTTCATAAACATAATGTTCATTTACAATGAACGATGATGCACATTTCATTTCCTGCACTATTCAACAGTACTGACAGGTAGTTACTTAGTTTAGTGATGCCTTAAGAATGGCAGAGCTACATGGGATATATAGTCCACAAATCTCTGCAGTGCCAAGTTAAGGCATCAACGACCCTTTCTAAAATGTCACATTTTCTGCATGAAACAGGAAGTAACATATTAATGAACATACCTGGCCCGCCTCAGGGTTTTTAAACAAATCTCACATTGATTTGGCAGATTCTCAGGGTCCTACAGCCTCGAGAGGACACCTTCATAGTCTACATATGAGAACCCCCAACTGCCTATTTTCTTACTTATGTATAGAAGACTCCATCAAGACTCCATTGACATGGTAGGCATTCACTGTGGACGGACACTAACGCCATGTGATTACATTACACATGAAGTGATTACATAGAATCTTCATGATGGAACAATTGTTTTGAACACTCTAAGTGCTAGATCAAGGTATGTGAATTATGCTATCCAGGATATACGTAAAAATGTACTAAACATGAATACATTTTTTACAAACTGAGTGCCAAAAAAGTTGCAACGCAATACATAAACTTCTCTAAAACATAAGGATTTCAAACAAGTCCATAAAATATCTAAATAAATTCAAACATATATATCTATATAGTATAAAAAAAAAAAATAAAAGAAAAAAATATTTTTGTCAGGAACGTGAACATTTTATCAGCTATATAAAATACTAAAGTACCAATAAAGCCCAGTCCCCAGAATGTATTAGTTACCCGTTTGCTACTGAGGTTTTCTTTTATTTGCTAAATTACCTCTAGTAAAATTTTGTGGTTAGTGGTCGAATGCTCTTATATAAATAAATAAAAGTCTTACGGTAATATATGGTTAAATACATTATTATTATTATTATTATTATAGAGTTGGCTGTGTAAATGATTCAGTCGAATTTGTCATAGTTTATATATGGGCTTTGTATGGAATCTGTTAAAATACCCTCATTTTCTGAGTTTGGTAGTGTAGAAGTTAAAACCTGCTAAAGATGTTTTTAGACAAACAACCTGAAATAATTTACTATTAAAGGACCACTATAGTGCCAGGAAAACATACTCGTTTTCCTGGCACTATGGTGCCCTGAGGGTGCCCCCACCCTCAGGGTCCCCCTCCCGCCCAGCTCTGGGGGGTGGAAGGGATTAAACTTACCTCTTTCTCCAGCGCCGGGTGGGGAGCTCTCCTCCCTCTTCTTCTGTCACCGGCTGAATGCGCATTCGTGGCAAGAGCCGCGCGCGCGCATTCAGCCAGTCCATAGGAAAGCATTCTCAATGCTTTCCTATGGACGCTGGCGTCTTCTCACTGTGAAAATCACAGTGAGAAGCACAGAAGCCCTCTAGCGGCTGTCAATGAGAAAGCCACTAGAGGCTGGATTAACCCTATTATAAACATAGCAGTTTCTCTGAAACTGCTATGTTTATAAAAAAAAAAAAGGGTTAAACCTAGCTGGACCAGGCACCCAGACCGCTTCATTAAGCTGAAGTGGTCTGGGTGCCTATAGTGGTCCTTTAATATTTTATTATAATGTTAAAATAAGTAAGGGGCAAGGTCATTGTGAGTGACGTTGTCCAGCAGTAAGCCTAATTCCCTTGTTATCTGTGCCCTTAAAAAATCGACAGCCTTTCAGGTTTGTTATCATGGAGGTTTCTTCTGGGGACACCTCCCAAATAAGCTTGGTTTCCATTTTGGGTGCCTGAGGTTTTGTTCTGTGGGGCCTTAGCCTAACTGTACATTTTATTGCCCACTCCACGTATATTGACTTAAGTACTAGCAAAACAAGCCATATATCAAAGCCGAAGTCCAACCCTAAACCCTAATGTGTTCATCTAAATCTTTGATTGAATATTTATAATTCTGAGCATGCTTGACCCCAATGCATTAAAACTGTGCACCCACAACAATATCCCCACACAGTGCTGTAAATGTAACTCCAAATACAGTGATTTACAGTGGAATTGTCCCAAACTATGTCATCAGAGATGTTATTACTCTCTTAGTATCACAGAAGATCAGGACTAACAATGAAATGAAGGCAAAATTAGACCCAAGACTTTTAAAGACATCACTCGGGGTCAAGTCCCTGTCATACCCCTCCCTAGCAATGCTGGAAACTGGCAAATTCGGGAGGAACCCAACAAGATTTTACACCCGACATATAGTACATAGCCCCTGAACATATGTGGAATGTGCCTTGTGGCAACACTGAAGTGTTAGACATCTACAGATTTAGTCAATATTTGGCTGTTTACAACTGATGTAAAAGATTCACTATCCCTGCGGTAACGATCAGTTTCATCTCTAGTATCCTCTGACATTTTATTTTTTGAATGCCCCAACATGTGACATGCATAGCAGGCAATACAAAAGTTGTTATAAGAAATTCTACTTCTGGTAAGCATTTTTTTTCTTGGTCATGTTTATATAAGTGCTTATTGTATACGTTTTGTGTGACACTAATTGAATTTACATTACATTAAGGTCTCAGTGATAACATTTCTTATTAATTTCCTGCTTTAACACCCCCAGTATAACATGGCCATGTATCATTATTCTGATACAAATTTTGGCAGTTTGAATTGAAAAGTGTTTTTTTTGATTACACATACAATCTATGACACGGTTACAAGAAAGCAAGGTTAGAAAAGCAAAAATCACATTGACACATTGAGATTGGCAACAAAAAATCATTGAAGACATCCACCAACATGAATTAAATTCCTTTGTAAATCAATTATAATATATCTGTATTTATCTCCTTCTCTATTGCTAAGCCAACCTTTTTCAGCCTTCATATACAAGCAAGCCTGGGGTAAATCGGGAGCATTGCTTTAAGACTTATTTTTCACTTAATCACCATGCAAGTTCTTGTAAGATCTTCTCCATTGACAAATTGTTTCTTTCCACATAGCTGTTTCTACCATATTATGAAAGGGATGTAATATTAGAACGACCACCAGGGGGTGCTACTATTTTTTGAGTAGTGCGTCTTGGAATATGGTCATCTGTTTGAGATCCTACAAAACAAATAAAATAAAAAGTGAAAATTATATTGGTGAAAATATAATAAAATATGTAGAAACGATCCTTAAAATTTACCTTAATGATATGACTGAGAGGAACGTTATCTTCTAGATTGTTAAATTTAAAATTGACCTTCATTATTACTGATATTTTCTCATGGGTAACTGCAGTTTTCAAAATAAGATTAGAAAAATTGTGCTATTTGTAAGCAAAATACATTATTTTTGTAGAATGAAAAAAAATTGTTAATCCTATTACTTTCGAACATGATACCTATAGTCATCTGTAATTTCTTTTAAAAATGAAAATGGCTGTAACAGGAAGTGAAGGTCAACACCAGTTTCCTAAACAAAATTTAGTTTGAGTTCGACATGCTTGTTCTAAGTGATTTAAGATTATTCTAAACTTTAACCTATCATTTCATTAAAGGCTAACACGGGCCAAATAAAGATTTAAGTTTATGTGGGCCGCAAAAAAAAACAAAACTAAAGTTTTCATGATACTGGATGTCCTCACGCATGTAGGGGTATAAAGTCGCCTCACACTGGACATCCTCACGCTCGTATGGCTTCAAAGTAAACAAAAGAGCAAATTCATTTTGAAGCAGATGTGCATTTGCATATAACCAATGTTTCAGTCCAACTACCTTGACATTTTAAGAAAATTTTGGTAATTGGACTGAAGTGGTGAATGTATGCGGTTGCACAGCTTAAAAAACAAATAACGTTATCTTGTTGATTTTGAAGTCCTATGAGTATGTTCTTCACTTTAGCTGAGATCATCAAACTTGATGATCTCAGCCAATCCAATGCTTTGGGAGACTATTGTGCAAGTGTGGCAAAATGCTACGTGGCCAATGAGCATCTCCATGGGACACAATCTAATACCCTGCCCCATCTAATATACTGTCCCCAAATCCAATACACTGCCACCTCCCCCCAATCTAATACTGCCCCTTAATCTAATACACTGCCAGTTCCCCCCAAACTAATATACTGCCCCTTAATCTAATACACTGCCTCTCCTCCCTCCTCTCTAATTGAATACACTCCCTCCTCTCTAATTGAATACACTGCCCCCATCCCCAATTGAATACACTGCCCCTCTTCCCCTACCTTAAGATGAACCACCTGTCCTCCAGTTCCAGCCTTGCTCTTCTCAAGCAGGCCGGATGCTCCTCTGGCATTGTGAGCAGGAAGGAAGAGGGAGTGGCTGGCCTGCTCTGCAGACAGACAGCCACTCTGCACACTGTAGCGCCGCCACTGGACATGACATGACATGACATGCTATATGCGCATATCCGGTGGCCGGCGTGGACTAATGCTTAGCGCTCTTGCGGCTGTCGGCACACGCTATCGGCCATGGTAGGGCAGAAAAGAAACAGACAGAAAAGAGCTTTCCTGTCTTTTGGCTGGTCACAGCCACAGCACAATGTGGCCCCAGGGCAGGCGGGCCGCAAAGATTGTCATTGTTTGACATGCTTGCCTTTGACTGCTGATCCACTGAGGACCTTTCCTCCCATACAGGGTCTTCACAAATGCCAAATACAGAAGGGCAACACTGAAGATTGAGTTTGTGTCTTTAGAAGACACAGGTCTCCCTTCTTCAAGACCTACTCATAGTCTCAAAGTAATTAGATTATCATTGTAAAGAAATAAAGCATAGTTTTTAACATCAGTAACCATCAGAAATGTCATCAGATTAACATGACAAAACACGTCTGATGTTTTTTTACCAGAGTTTTGTATCAAATGCTGTGTTTGCACTATTTGTTGGTGCTTTTTAACACTTAAATGTGTTTTTTGTGCTATTTAACTCTTGGATAAATGGCTAAATGACACTTTGGTCTCCATTTCCTTGAGATGGTCATTTAAATACTTTATCACTGGGAGTCAGTCACAAAGGAAAATTATCATTAAATATTCACATTTTTTTTTAACTTTATTATATTTAATGAAGCATATTTATTTTCATGATGTATATATTTATTATAATTTTTTTTTAAATGTTATTTTTTTATCTGGCTGAGCAACCCTGTTGGGTCGGATTCTACTGTTATCTCACCAACTATTGCTCAACAAACTTAATTGCTGCTACAGTTTCACATAGTAAAGAATACAAACAAGAAAATTAACCCATTATGACAAAGGGGAGAAACACTTGAAAAAATAGGGGATAACCACTTAATAACGAATTATAAGGAGACAGGAAACAAACAAATTCACAGAGAGCAAACACAGCTGCAGGTTAGGTTAATCAGCAGTTGGTCAGGTAACAGCAGAATGTGACTCAACATGGCTGCTTAGCCAGCAAAGTGCAATTTTCTCGCAGAAAATATTTTATATATATATATATATATATATATATAGTTTATTTGCTTATTTGCGTTCTAAAAATATATCCATAAGTTTCAGTACATGTGATAAACTTTTACAATATTAATTTGGTGATGGTAGTCCTTTATCTTAATTATACCCTCCAATTCAATATGGGATTTGATCAAGCACTGTCTGGAGAGTTTATTACCCTTCAATGACTCGTGGGTATATGGCTACCACAGCAATGAGCTTCTACGGTTTTTTTCAAGGATGCAGAAGATTTAATAGAACATTTCACAGTTAGCTCAACTTAAGGGAAATTGATCACAACAGCAAGATGTAGCATGTTTCCCTTGAAATGAACTACTGAGTTATATCCACACTGCTACAACAATATATTCAACATAACAAAACAGACACAGCTCAGTAAACATGAATTTTGATGATGGCTTGTATCCAAGTTGGATAAAGTTGCACCTGACTTGACCCGAGTTTTAAAAAGGTAATTTGAGTCCTAAAACGAAGGACTGAATTAATAAAGTGTGATGACTTAATGAAGGAAAAGCAAATACTTTGCCCATTGTGTAAAGCATGCAAGCAATATATCAAACAATGTGTCTATGTAAAAAAAAAAAAAGAAAAAACCTATTAGAAAAGTACTCTACTGAAACAAATAAATGCACAAAAATATTCTGGTAGATTTATTTTATTTTTTTTTAAATATATATTTTAAACAGCTTAATTACTTGCCCACTTTTATTTATTTTTGTTCCAATTATATCCTATCATAACTGAATGTACGTTCTGTCCAAGTTTAACTAAAGAACTAAAGCAAAAAATCACAACAAAAAGGGCGCCTGCCAGTAGAAAATTAAGATCAATTGAAAGAGAATGTAATTTTAATTTTGTTTTCAATATTTTAAATAAACTTGTAACAATTCTTTTTCCAAAATATTAAAATGGCAAAAAATAAATCACATATAAAAAAAAAATATCAAAATATTTTCCAAATGTTTAAATAATTTAAAAAAAGGCTCATCCAAAACGTTAAATTATTTGCAAAGCTCAATCAAAAATATTACATCAAGGTCAAAGTCAGAGATACTGATAGGTTCCACAAACGCCAAGGGATTGAGCCCAAACCAGACTCAACACCTAGCCTTCCTATGTAATGTGTTCGCCTCTCTACCCTTGACCAGCAAGCTCCAGGATCTAAATGAAAACATAGTCTGGTTTTCAATGCAATGCTACTGTGCTACGTGACTAACCGAGGGGTGTGCAAACAAGCGCTGTTACCCCAATAGTTAACTGGGGGGTCAACACTCTCCCCCTCTTCAAAGCCTTGCATTAAATTGTACTAGTTATAATAGCCAGCTGCTTTGTGTAAAATTCAAAATAAAAACAAACACTAATATTATTCGGTTTCATGTTCTACTAATAGAGATTCAGGACTCCAGCCCCCAAAGCACACACAGCAACACCTATGAATACACCTTTAAATGAATTTAAAAAGCAGGCCTGTATCGAGGACATACCTATTAAGTTACTTGTATTCTTAGAAGCAAACCAAATAGGAGAAAACTTGTTTTCTGTTAACACTAAAATTAAATTTAATATCAAGTATGGATTTCAAGTTTTGTTATTTTTCGGTTATGCTAGTGTTACATTTCTTAACTTTAAAAACTGCAATACTAAGAGGGGTAGTAAAATATCAGTACTAGTCAATAAGATCAGTAAGTGATCATAATTTGTATTTATCTCATTATGAAAAGATTATCAACGTCCATCACACTTTACAATTGTGCATAACATGTTTACTCTAACATTATTATTATTATTGTATTATTTATATAGCGCCATCAGATTCTGGAGCGCTGTACAATGGTACAGTAGTGGTTGTGATGCCAGGAGTACCCTGGCCCTGTTCCCTAGGAATTGGTAAACCAGCAATGGTTTGTCCTCTTACTTGGTTCACTGCTAGGCCCCAAGGCTCCCTACTAAACAGGTGATGCACTTCTGGCTTTTGAGAGCCGCAGCCATTGCCATTCATTGGCAGACAGATCAGTTGGCCAGCGACTGATATTCTGTGCAATAAAAGTTCCAGGACTCTAGTTTCGGGCTGGCTAATAAAACCCCAATTACATGGCTTGAGGTTGAGTTACACGTACAGTAGCAGAGGGGTTAAACTCCATATGTGCTACGTTTCATAGCGAAATGTTGCAAGCACATAATCAAGGAACCATGACCACTTAAAATCACTGAAGTGGTCATGGTGCATGGAATAACTCTTTAATTCAAGGATTTACAAAATAGGATTTCATTTTTAATTTTGTTTTTTAGTTTTTGGTTTTATCTGTTAAATCAAATCATATGCTGAAACACCAGGCAGATTAGTTGGTTAGGACACATGCAAAGGGAACAGAATATTTAGGAAGAAAAAAAATGTAAGAAAATTAAACACTTGCTCTTCTGTTTTCATCACTAGGACTCAAACTTAAAGGACCAATAAAGGCACCCTGACCACTTAATCTCAATGGCCTTTTCGTTTTAACCGTGCAACGGAAAACATTGCCGTTTAGTAGATACTTCAACATTATGATTACAGAGTTCAACACACCATAGCGTTAACTGGGGTGAAGGAACCAGGAGCTGTCATTTGTCTGAAAATGACAGTTCCTCTTTAAGTGATCACTTTGAAGAACTGGCATTTTTTTCACTTTAAACGAGGGCTTGACAAAAATAACTCAAAATGTATCTTTTAAGATCCTAAGATCGCACAACTTGAAGCTGACTACAGCTTTAGGCAGACACCACAGGACCCTCTCATTCTGCTCTATTGGGTTTGGTCTTAATCCTCTATTAGCTTTGATCGTATCCCATAATCATGTCCAACCAGGCTTTATGGGATATGTAGTTGATCCCTATTAGCAGTTCCATTCATCACATTAAATGAGTGAAACTATGCAATAAACTGATAGTAGCCATGCCATGACGTATCAATTGATACACAGCCTGGTTTACAAAATTGATACAGGCATATGACCCTCCTTCATTTAGTTATGCTACTGAGAAGACAATATAATTTAGAGGTTGGTGAACACTAAAACCAGTAAATATATGACAGGTATGACTGTGAAATGTTCAAAAAAAGTAATAAACTGTAAATTGTTCCCCTTGGGAATTTTTCTGCATATATCCTGTCCATTTCTTAATTATTTACATTTATTTTATTATTTTAGAAATAAGAACATATGCATTCATTTCTATAATGGACTTATAGATAATGACAGCGTTATGAATCTGACTTGATGTAGATTTTTGTTTCTTCAAAATATGCATCCGTTTTAAAGTCACTACTAAATTAAACAATGGGTTTCTTTATCTTGTGGCCAATAATCAAATTATTGTCAAGCCTTTTGATCTTTACTATTCACATGTGTACATTTACTATCCACCAAATTATAAACACAGAGAAAGATACAAATACTAGGGAGGGATACAAAAACAGATATTTAAGGTAAAAAAAAAAAAATCTGCTGTAATAATAAGACACATTTTGGAAATACAATATTCAGCCAGATTCTGATTAATAATATGTGATAGAAACAAACAAAAAAATAATAATTGATGCAAAATTCCACAAGCAGAAATAAAAAATGATGGCCATCGGATGGATTAAATTTGCATGCATTAAGGGTCTCGCCTTTCTTTCTCAAACTTCAGGTTGCAGATGGAAAATTCTTGTGGTGCACTATGAGTATACAAAATGAAATGATGTGTACGTATATCTGATGCATTCTTTAAGACAAGAAGCATTTTAACCTACCTTCGTGAAACTAGATACATTGCATCCTTCCCTTTCCTAATGAAAGGAAAAACAAGTATGGCCATCACAATATATGATTTCACATTAATATGGTGGAAAGATTAATGCACAGCAAGAAAAAATTTACTTTCGTAGGTTAAAACCGGTTCCCCAGTGAAAAGGAAAATAAATGATACCAAGTACTCGGCCCAATGCCAGTATCAGTTAAAAAGATACTAAAGGTAATTTGTGGTCATTTTAATTACTTCTAAATAATCTTTGTATGCGACAAGATAGGTGTAATATTAACAGCCATTTAGAAAGCACCCTTCTGTTTTAAAACTAACCTTTTCAGGGTTCATAGAAAACTAGAAGATACAGCAGGTTCCTCCCCCTATATTTCAGATTTCATCTCAAATTCGTGATGTCAGCAGTTTATTGGCTGATCTTCTATGACCTGCTGTGAGTAAGGGTATTTTGTGCTGTGATTGGTCTAATCCAGGGATAGGTAACGTTTTAGTAGTACTGTGCCAAAACAAGATCTTGAAGTACCTTGCGTGTCTGCCCTATTTTTTAAAACTGATGTGTGTATGTTGCCGTTTTGTGCTTTGGCTTTGTGACATTGTATTTGTGAGTATGTGGGCTGTTATGTTGAATATGTTCATGAGTAGTTTGTGGTAGTATGTATGATACCTATGCATGTAGGCTGTGTGGGCTGTGTATGGGGTTGCGTGTGGAAATGTGTGTCTGGATGATATATCAAGTTGTGTGTTTGGTGGTGTGGGTATGGGTGGGTCTGCTTGTAGAATTAGGCTGCTTTAGGGGTTGTGTGCATGTATGTGGATTGACAGTGGTGTTGTGTTTGTGGGGACTATGTGTGTTTGTGTGTGGGCTGTTTGTATTATTTGTATGAGTGGGGGGCTTCTTCTGCAGCTTTGCGTATATCTAGCAGTGTGGGTGGTAGCTGCGACAGCTGTGGTGGCCTTCTCTACTCTAGTGCAGATTCACAAGTGCTGGGAAGAAGTGATCTGAGATTGGATGCATAAATTGAGAATTGTTCCTCACCACCTGCAATCACAGCTCAGGTTGCACTAGCAGATTTCTAAAGTCCTACTGGGATTCTGATAGGCCAGAGCCTGTTTATCTTTGGCTGCACTGAGTCAGAGAGCAGCAGAGTACATTATCTACATTACTGTCAGCACTGTATAAGCACGTAATGACCAAACTTCTCATATCTCTCTATTTAAAGTGAACCTGCAGTCAAGAAATAAACTTACCCGAAATTGCTGCTATATCTATCGAATACACCATATTTCACAAAGATACATGATGTATTCAATGTAAAATATAGAGATTACTCACCTCTCCTCTGATCCAGCCCCACCATCTTCGAGCTTCATGGGTGTGACTCTTCGTGTAACACTCACCTCCGGGATGTCCTCCACCGCTCCACCTGCAGTCTTCTGCAGCATGCGTTGTGGTTCCTATGGTTAGGAGAGCAGAAGATCCACTTGTGGGAGGTCTTTTCTGCTCTCCCTTATCAGTCAATGCCTCTGCGTGAATGACATTTACGATAAAACCATATTTTTTAATAGCTTTCTCTTCCAATCTATACATTTGCTTGCAAAACTACTATCAATCTAATGAGCATAAGTTGTTTTGGGCATGACTGTTGCCCTTTAAAATCCTTCTGTCATTCTGTTCCATTATATTGCTGTGCCTGAGTGTATAACAGAATTTCACAGCAATAAACCTCACTGTAGGTAAAAGCAGGAAATATTCCAGAAGGAACCTGCGACTCTTCTTCAGCTCCTCCTGAACACTGAAAATGTTTGTTTTAAAACTGAAGTGTGCTTCTGGTTGCACCCAGAAAGCTATTTGGAATCATAGTAAAGTATTCTATGTACACAAATTTAGTTCTAAATACATTGATGGTAGTTTTAACATATTTTTCTCTAAATGTATTGTTTTGAAACTCTGTAATACATTAATAAATACCCAACATTCTCAGCTCTTACAAAATAGGGGCACTAAATCAGACATTACAGATAGGAGAGAGAGAGCTCTTCAAAACACATGTAAATATGTTAGGTGTACACATCAACTTTGTCACAGCCCATGTGGTTACAGCATTGTGATGTCATAGTCACCATTAGCAGTTATCTGATATTATATTCATGCATGGCCATATGTACTGTGGCAATGTAATTTCCTGGGGCCATTTGTGAACTAGTATTGATACAAGGTGAGATCAGAGCATTTAATGTCTGCTGGTACTTTAAATGTAATCATAAGAGTGGGAGTACCATTTTACAAACATTTTTTTAAAGCAATGTCTCTTAGTTTTGATGTTTATGCAATTCTAAGCATCTCTAAAGGGTTGTAACAATTTCAACAACTACTAAAAACAAGATCGGAACTTTTTTCGATTTGGCGAGCATGTGACAGAAGTGTTGCAAAAACTGCAAAATGTATAACATTTGGAGCAACTGTGTAAATCCAGTGGTGCATGATCTGCTTGGTTTCAACTGGCTGCTACACACTATGACAATGTTCTAATTTAGAACACTAACATGTATTGATAATACGCAATTTGTGATTACAAGTAACAGTGGTAATGCAGCCCCTAAAATCTCACCAGACAAACTGAACCCGGATCGATGCAAGTTCCGAACTGGTGCCATTTGTATTTTCCCAAGACAAGGAGCTATCCTTGAGGTAGGTGTTGGTGCTGAAGATTTAGCAGTCACTGGAATGTCATAGACTGGACCGTCATACAGACCCCTTGGAACACCACGCACCTCAGCCAACTGCATAAGACAAGAATTATTTTTTGTTTTCATTTTTAAAAAAATAAATTAATAGATGTAGACATATTTATACATATGACAATCACGCAATTATCCAATAGCCCTGGTATCTATTCTGAATATCTGATCCTACCATACCCAGCTTTAGTTATTAACCTCTTCACTAACGAGCACTTTTTGATTGATTGATAAATAACATAACATGTATTTAAAGCAAGAGATGCATAGCTAGCATACAAACGTTTCATAATACTGTACATCAGTTTTGTGTACAGATAGCTTTGCACACAAATGTAAAAATTAAAGTGATGTCAATTTATACATATTTTATTTTTCACTTATTAGTTCAATCTTCATAAAAAATATTTGGAAAATTAAATGCTTTAGTACCCATTACCTTGCAATATTTCACACATGGTCTGAAATGTTAATTTAAACACAAAGATGCATTTATTTTCTCACATACAGTAGATGTGACAAAAAATACATTTAAAAAAAAATGGAAAAATTATGAGATCATGCTAAACTCTCATTATTTGAAATGAATGTATTGTGCTCAAACAGTTTGAACTGAATTTAGATTGTCTTTGTGCCAAAACATCCAGGCTGTAATATTTGTGCACTCTGAAAATTTGTAACAGGGTGCAGGATGCAACATTGACAAACAACTGGATTACTGTAAATGGCTAAAAACCTAATGTCCAATAAAGACACGTTAACTTTTCCTCAAGCAAATGAACAGTAGTTCAGACAGGAAGATTAACCAAGCGACTGTAGAATTCTAAATAAATGCATTAGCATTTGATTGATATGTACTTTCTACATAGAAGTCAATGAACGGATGTCTATGAAGCCGCGTTTTTAATAGACTTCGTGCAGTCTGAGAAGGTCTTCTGTGAGCAAAATAGTCAGTTTACCTTTAGGGCATGTCTAGCCCCGAATCCATGTTATAAATAGAATTTCCTCTACTGTAATTTTAAATAGGGCTGCAACTTTAAATTAAGACAAAAAACAAATGTATCTAGTTAGAAGACTAACTCTAATACATTGTGATTATGCTGGGTCGCTAAGGCTGCAGGGCTGTTGTACCTATCACATTGAATTTGTCAGATGCAAAGCACTGTGTAGAGGCAGTGTGTTGCAGAGATTATGTGTGAGAAGACCAAAGAGAACATATTAGAAATGACGGTATTTGAATTGTGCAAAAACATTTTTGAGGTGGTCCGTTCAAACAAAATTCTTGTTGATCGTTAAATTTATTATGAAATATTTTACCTGTAGAGTCTACGGGTAAGATCAATTCAGAAGCAATTTTTTTTTTGACGATAAGGAATTTTATATCAACAAAGTAGCTCAAAGGAATATTTGACATATCACGCATACCATGAATTTTATTTTAAATAGAATACTAGACTAAAAGAAAGTGAGCAAACAAGAGGATATAAAAGACAAGAAAAAGGGAACAAACAATGAGTTTGGGGGGGCAAAAAATACTTTTTCTGCACTTTAACACAAAGTGTGAAATTTTTCGTTGACACACAATTTTAGTGAACTATTCTATGAATGTTTGAGATGTTTTATTAATTGTGTATGATCGCCTCAAGATTGTGTACGAAATATACTATACATAAATCACTCCACCCTTGTAGAGTATAATTGTTGGACATTTGGTGTGAGTTAGAAAGAGAGGGTAAGAAATAAATTGATGGCAAATATTTGTTCAATTATGTTTTTTTTGGTTGAAGCGCTTTTTGTTTTAAATTTTAAAACTATTTTGTTGCATGAATGATTTGAGCAAATTGTAATTATTATCAATGATATAGTGCTAATGTATAATAAAGATAATGTAGAGAACTTTGATGGTGTCACAGGGCATGACGTAAAGAATTCTGCATGATATCTCATCTGTGAGAAATAATTGAAGATTGAACTAATTTTTATAGTATGTGAGAGTCATTAAATAGTGTATGTTGCTCTGGATAGTTTGTGTATTGTATATTATGTTACTGTGTTTTATTCTTTATCTTTAACTTTTTATAATAATTGTTACTATAATATTTTTTAAATTAGGTAGACGAGTCGTATTTTATATTATATATGTATAGGTATACGGTCACATCACTGACATTAAAGAAATGGAATGATACTCAAATTACAGATGCCCTTACCCTATTTCTGGCTTTAATCCTTTTATATACATAATCAGGGAAAGTTTTGCGAGGAATGAAGCGTCCAGAACCTTGACTGACATGGAGATTTCCACCTTCTAGTACAATTCGTCCCTGGCTGATAACAACTTCTGGTTCACCGTGACATTCCATCCCTTCGAAGATGTTGAACTCTACAGACTAAAAAATAAGTTAATGTAATATTTTTTTAAATTAAATAGATGTGATGACTAGAAGTGATGAGTAGTGAGAAGGACTGGACAAAACAGCTTGAGACAACTGCAAGGATTAACCTAAGCGAGTTTGGGTAGACAACTGCAAGGATTGACCTAAGTGAGTTTGGGTAGACAACTGCAAGGATTAACCTAAGTGAGTTTGGGTAGACAACTGCAAGGATTGACCTATGTGAGTTTGGGTAATATCAGGAGGAAATAAAATAGACACCTCACAAAAAAGCAAACAAACTGTATGAAATGTGGAAAGCTGTGAAAACATCAAGACAAGTTGATCCTAACCAAAATAAATAATCTTTTTTACTAAGAAGGTAAACTATGGATTACTGAGTTCTATGAACACAACAAAAACTAGATTGTGTGAGTCTGTCTGCTTGAAGTATAATGTAGCTCCTATTAGTCCATAAGATGTGTTATGTGACAGTTTAATTCAGGGGTAGGCAACCTTTGGCACTTCAGATGTTGTGGACAACATCTCCAATAATGCTCGTACAGCCATAATGTTGGCAAAGCATCATGGGAGATATAGTCCACAACATCTGGAGTGCCGAAAGTTGGCTACTCTGGACTATAGTTTTATAAAGTTATTACTGCAATCATCTACTCATATTTTATTTATTTTTTGTAGCAACTCATGCACTTTTATAGGTAGTAGAATTATTTCTTACCAGATTATGAGTCTTTGCAGAAATTATTTTCACTGTTTTTGGATTCCAGATAACCAAATCTGCATCAGAACCTGTTGCAATTCTACCTTTCCTGGGATATAAGTTAAATATCTTCGCTGCATTTGTACTTGTCACGGACACAAATTCATTTTCATCCATCTTACCAGAAGTCTGAAAAGGAAAACAAAGAATAGAATGCATTAATTTCATCAATCCTCACGTGGTATAAACAGTGTGCCGAGAAAAGAATCTCAAATATTACATTCATCCACACATAAACACTAAAGAAACAAACAAACACTCTTTAAACTTCGGTTTGAAAAAGTTACAGAATATAATAGGGACAAATCGTCTTTGTGGCCTTTTTAATTTTTAAAATAATGTTATGCACTTGATTGCAAGTTTAATGAGATATGACAATTGAATGTAATTTACATTTATCCATGGGAGATAATTGAACTTTTTTTAAATTCCCCAAAATGTTTTGTTTGTGTACTTGATTGCCGACAGAAAGTTTTTGTCACAGACAATTCGATTGTCATCAGCTGATAGTTATCTTTCTTTGATCTTGATCTGCTTTTCTGTGTCTATAATGCTCCAGAACATCCTGTAGGTGAAGGTATTAAAGGGACACCCAAATAGTTTTTACTTGATGAAGCCATTTTAGTGTATACATGCAGTATTACTTTACTGAGAGGGTAGTGGATGCATGGAATAACCTTCCAGCTGAAGTGGTAGGGGTTAACACAGTAAAGGAGTTTAAGCATGCGTGGGATAGGCATAAGGCTATCCTAACTATAAGATAAGGCCAGGGACTAATGAAAGTATTTAGAAAATTGGGCAGACTAGATGGGCCGAATGGTTCTTATCTGCCGTCACATTCTATGTTTCTATGCAGTATCACTGCTCAATGCTCTGCCATTTAGAAGGTAAATCACTTTCTTTTCTGTTATGGAACCCTATTCATGAGTTCTGTTGACTGTGACTCACATGCAGAGCAGAGCTGGATTAACATAGGGGGGCTAAAGGCTCCAGGCCCATCACATGTCCACCAACTGACTCGCTTTTGGCGTGATGGTGCCAATTTTGGGGTGCTGTCCCGCATCTTTTCTTGCCAGGAGCTGCTGCCTGCTAGCAAGAAGGGAAGGAGAGGAGGGGACACGCAAATGCTCAGGGACAACAGGGAACGGTCCTAGAAAGCATAGAGCAAGTGCGTAATAGGATTCCTTTTCGCCAAGCTCTGCACTGTCTTCATAGTCAGTCTTCAGTAGGCTAACCTGCATGATTGGCAGGCAAGATGGCATGGAATCATGTCAGCTGACCTTTTAAATCATCTGGCAGACCCACCCCCATGCCAGGTGGGAACTCCCAATTGGACAGTGGCGTGATTCGAGTCACTGGCCCACCTCCTTTTACCCTGAGGGGTATGGATTTAGATGAGTGATTAAAGCGAGAAATTAGCATAGGGTATCTAATAAATGCATCCTGTGAGTTTCTCTCAGCACTACCTCCACCAGATACAAGACATTTGAGAGGTAGTTTTTTCGGTCAATAAGATTCTGTAATTAGGCATGTTATCAATGTCAGCACTAGGTCCAATAGGCTCTTAATCCGACCCTGTCGCAGAGGTGTACATAGCAACCAGGACGAAAATATATATATTGGCACCCAGCTCCTTCCCAAGATGTAGAATTTATTTCTGTGTCTCACTCTGCACCCTCCCCATCCCCACAACATGTTAGGGAAATTATGCTCACATTTATACAGATACACATACACAGACCCATACACACACACACACACACTGATACACAACAACTAATATACACTTCAATTAATATACACACACAAGCTAATACACACTCAAATACATATTTAGCTCAAATCACATACACACACATACACATTAATATAATGTGAGACTCATATACACACAGACAAACATATGCACATTTCTTATTTCATTTCTTATTCGAATACTGTGTGGTCCATCCAGCCTCTTTAAAATGAAGTTAGGGTCTACAAACACTTTGCAGGGACCCTCCGTAGCAGAAGGAGAACGCTTCGGATCAATGGCTGCTACCATCACGGTCTTGCTCAAGCCTGGGAAGGACCCAGTACACTGCGGCAGCTACCGCCCGATCTCACCAACTAAACGTGGACACCAAACTCTTCACGAAAGTGTTGGCAACCAGAATACAACGGGTATTGCCAAGTTTGATCCACGCTGATTAAACTGGTTTCATTCCTAGCCGAGAGGCACGTGATAGCACAAACTCTGAGGGGAATGGGATAGGGAGGGCGGGCCCTCGCTTGGATCTCGGCCTTTTACGATTCGCCACGGGCAACAGTAAGAGTGAATGGGGCACTGACCTCTAGCTTCGGGATCGCCAATAGAACCAGGCAGGGGTGCCCTCTGTCCCCACTTCTATTTGCTATGTCCCTAGAACCGCTGCTCCAATCGATCTGACAGAACCCTGACATCACAGGATACTCCTGGGGAGACACGGAACACAAAGTGGTGGCGTATGGTCTCCTATTCTTTGTATCAAACGCTAGGATTACAATGCCCAGCTTGCTCTCGGAGTTTGAACACTTCAGCCGGATATCAGGGTTTAAACTCAATCTTCCAAATAGTGAAGTGCTGAACGTCTCCCTCCTGATGGAAGAATATATCAACCTCAGCACATCGTTCCCGTTCCATTGGTGCTCGGACACCTAGTAAACGCTACCAAGTCCCTTGTGCCAGTTTACTGGAAGAGGACTGAAATCCCCACACGGGGGAATGGAGTCAAAGGGTTGAGGACATCTAGGTGGCAGAGGCGTTCCGCATCATTGGACTTTCTTCATATAGTAGAGACCCCTGAGAACACTCTATGACACCACATTGATACAACCAAGAGGGTGGGGGGGTCCCGGGAGGAGAAACTACATTAGGACACATGCAAGGTCATTCTACAATCAGTTTTCAGACATCACATAGAACACACGACACTCATAAGCTACCCACTGTGACAAACCACACAGGGTCTCAAAAGCAGGTCGCAAAACACATCTGCCATATACCATCTGTTCCGTCCCGAACAGTAGGATTCACGACCACCCCGCGGCTCACTGCAAGGTAAACGCCTGGGGGGATAGGGTACCCAAGTACCAATCTAAACCTATGACAAACGTAATACACCCAATAAGACCGTCAGTAGTAAGCCACTCACGTGACACCCTTTACACTGAGGGACACCCACAACAGTGGCCATACAGGGGTACCTGATGCTCCCCAGGGAAAAGAACAGCCACATACCACAAAAAATGACCCGCAACAGAAACACCAATGGGGTGGCAACTACCCTCACCACCCTTCCCTATATTTATTCTACTATTCACACACATATCCCCTTACCTTCCTAAGAGGTACCAACCGGTGCATACCCCGAAATTGAGGGAAAAGAGAACCTAACTCGTATTGACACCTGAGAGTAACCTATACCCAGGAAAAATTTAACATACTCAACAGATGCATTGGACACAACTCTGATCTTTACGCTGACTTATGGCTGTCATTGATCACATATGAGACGAAGCTAACTATATGTTTGCCAATACACTGAGACTAATGTTAATGTCTACAGTTTATGTGAACCAATTGAAAATGTATACACTTTATGTCTTGTTGTTTGTATACATAGGCCTGCGTGCCTCAATTAATTACCTGCGGTACCTCAAAAACAGATTTACAAAAAAATTAAAATTAAATTAGGGTGGAACCTCATCGCTGGGGTTTGCTGCTAGGATCTCTCTACTAATTGCTCATCAAGTCTTGGCTGATCTTTGGGGAATTGGGAGCTACAATCACTGCTTCACTGGGGATTTGAACTACAGCAGATATACTCAGCAAGAGTATAGGGGATCCGTTACAATGGTGCTGGAATGTTAATTCCATTTGTGAATTTAATGTATCTAATATACTTGTATGTAAAGTCATATCAAACTCCTGAAAGCAATGCTTGCAAATAACTCTGGTTCTAAATGTTGTTGGTTTTTTAAAAAAGGATCCCTACATCTTTTACATTTGGAATTCTACTAAAGTCTAAGCCAGGCATAGGCAACTTTCGGCACTCCAGATGTGGACTACACCTCCCATGATGCTTTGCCAGCATTATGGGTGTATGAGCATTATGAGGATGTAGTCCACAACATCTGGAGTGCCGAAGGTTGCTTATCCCTGGTCTAGGCTATGATGCCACCCCATGGTGTTCAATGGATAATCCAAGATACCCCATGATTCCAAAGGTTTTGATTGCACGGAAAATAAGGGAATGTGCAGTGGGTGCAAGTTTGTTTTTAAATTTTTATTTATTTATTTATTTATTTTTTTGAAGTTTGATGAGTATACACGTATTGACCATGACATTTGGTACAATGCAAAAACATTTGAATACAGATTCTGAGTTAGGAAACAAAATGTCATGAGGAAAACTGCACATTTTTGTTTTAAAATATAGGGTAACAAACATGCTAGGTAATCGTATGCTGAGATAAGTGACGAGCGTGGCACAGGGAGAGTATCAGATATGTTACAAGTGTACGTAAGGTAAATGTGCTCATAAGTTTGATTAAACATACTTAATTAACCACGGAGGGGTGAAAGGATTGTCGCGAATATTTGTGAGACAGCAGTTGTGGTGTAGCGTATCATAACTAGAAACAACACAGTTATAACAGTGCTTATTGCCTGACCATGGTATATCAGCTGAGTTTCTGCTGGCTTATGGCCTCTTAGGGTTCTGCTCAGTCCGTCCTGGGGTTAGGCTGGTGTCAGGAGGTTAGTTACACTATGGGCTAGGACAGTAGGGGTTAACCAATATTTAATTATGTAAAGCATTGGCACTTGTAGTTCCATATACTACGCAATATGGAGCTCACTGTTACTGTTGTTAAGTCCGGGTCATTGCTGGCATGATGGCCACTGTGCAGGTCATTGGCGATGTCTCCCTGCCAGGCCCCTCTCTCGCTGGACCTCCATGGACCAGGTGCTGTTGCGCAGCTGTGGAGTGTTGCGGGTCCTTCTGCATGGCATAGTCTTTTGGGCAGCGTGGTAGCTGTTGGACCCGTCTGGGTGCCTGCAGGGGGTACCTTCTGAGTGGGCTGATGCTTGAGGGTGTAGCGGCGTTTAGTTTGAGTAGTTTCACGGTGGCGAGTTTTATGTTTCCGCTGGATTACCCGCCTGCTCCTCCCCATGATTTGGGCTGCTCCATGGCTCTGTCTGGGTGTTACTGCATGCTGTGCCAGATCTTGTGGGAGCCCTGCAGGTGACCTCGCCTCAGAGGTGACCCTGCGGAGGGCGTGCGTGGCCCAGAAAGCCTCCAGTAGGCAGTCAATCCTCTCCTCTAGTGGGGGCTTTATGTTGCTGGTCGCTGGGCAGCACATGGCGTTCTGCTGTGCATGTAGGGCCGGGTTGGCTCCCTGGTGCTAGGTCGTTGCTTGTGTTTGCCGGGATGAACCCCGCCGGCATGGGGGGGAGGTAAAATCATCCGGGGAGACCTCTAGCCGAGAAGGCTGCTGTTGTAGAGGGGTCGGCCGCCTCCCTCGTGTTGCTTGTTCAGGCCCTCCGTAGGCCTCAGGTCGAAACCCGGTTATAGACTGTCGCCTGCCGTTGGGTCTTCTGGCTATTGTTGCCTCTTTGGGGTGCCCCTTAGGCTGGGACTGTTGTGTAAGCACGTTTTAGGGCTTTTTCTCGATTATTTCAGCTTCTTTTAGGTTTTTGCCTGGGAGTCCCTGTTGTATGCGACTGCACGGCATGGCTGCCAGGCTCCGCCCCCCCCAGTGGGTGCAAGTTTGTTTCACATTTACAGAGCACCTCATCCTAATAAGCATTTCAACAGCATTTACTCTGAAGAAAAATACACCAACACCAACAGAAATGTTTTTAACCCATTGCTTCCCGTAATGTTTTTTTTTTTTTTAAATGCAGTACTTTAACAAATGGTTAAACAACGAAACACTATGCAAAACAGCACTCTGCAAACTGGTATTGACATTGTAACTTACCACACACTTTTCCCAAATAATCGACATCCTTTCTTCAATTCCATTTGTTCCTTCTGGTATTAAAGTGAAGTTGTCCTTCCCAACAGCTTTCTGGGCTGTGGTGAACGTGCAGTGGGAGCTCCCACTAACCTGCAGGTCACCACTGCATGAAACAACATAGTGAATTAGATGAGAGCAAATACATTTATGGGTAAGATCACTGTAGAAGAATCCTATAGCTAATTAACATATTAATTCCGTACATCATATCTGGAGGTAAGATTGCAAGTGATGAAATAAAGGAGGCAAAATTCCAACATCTTTATTAGTTGAAGGCGTTTCTTTACCACGTCTAAAACAAATATCTGGTTTGATACTTGGCATACATTAAAGGGTCTATTTACTAAACTGAGTTTTAGTGAATGAAATCTGAATTGCAAAATGGAGGATAAAACGGCCAGGTTGTTACTGTAGCAAAATTTACGAATATTCTCCATATCAGTTATTTTAGCTTCAGTTTGCAACCTAAAATTAATAAACAAAAATTGAGACTATAGCAGATCATTCTGACAGTGTTCAAGATGTCATAGATGGTTTTATTGTTTAGGACAGTTTTGGCAAAATAAGCTTTTTTTTAGACACCTGCATTTCTAGATGTGTCCACAAAAAGGAGCTGTAATACCCCAACCAGGAGTCTAAAAGCCATGTTACACTTAAAAACAAGGTGGATTTAACCATAACGTGACTAAGGAAGCTGTCTAGCGACCAGAGGTCCAAAAGGGGCCAAGAACCATGAATAAGCTTGGCCCCATTCCTTATCCCATGGTGAAGAATGAAGTAGAGGGCTCCAAACCAGTATCCTGCCTAGTGGGGGCTCTCAGAATAAGCAGTGAAATCCTTCAAAAACAGAGCATTTTAAGGCAAAGAGTGTTGCAATGCAAGAAAAAAAGGGTAGCTCCTTTTTCATGGGCTTCCAGTTGCAGTAGAGGAGGCAGTGGTGGACACTGGGAGAGACCCAGGTAAGTTGTCAAACTGTTCTTAAATGGTTTTACTACTGACTTGTTCATGGTGCCAAGATTGTCCTGGCACCATCTCAACTTCAGTGGATTGTAGGGTTTATGGTGCTTGGAGTACTTCTTTAAACTGAGGTAGGAACACATGTAAAGCTGCATTAAGCAACCATTGCTCAAAAAGGGAGAGCACTTACAGCAATACAATAATAATAAACACCTACCATAGCCATATGTATAATGAAACAAAATATCATTTAATCTAAAATCAACACTATAAAAATGAACGGATAAAGATGTCAACACTTGTCATCTTAATTCGATTTGGATTTTCACTGCAATAACAGATCCACTCTGTCATGAAAGATCAGACTAAAAGGGGGCACAAAGACCTTAGATGTTTCTTTCCATGCTTGTCACAATTATTTAGCGTCAAGTCAGTAATTGCTAAAATGGATGTTGCTATCATGAGCGATTACCAGTTATTTCCATGCTACAACTGGTAATTGGAGCCTGCTGAAAAATGGTATATCCACATTTAAATTAATAGGAGCGCTGAATGCTAAGTAGCACCTGGCTTCCATGCAAGATAGTAAAGATGACTACTTGTCTCTATCAGACTAAACATGAAACCTGTCTCTAGGTGTAAATTTATTAAACAAATAACTGCAAGCTCTTGTCACATCTCGAACAAAAAATACATTTATCCTATATTTCAGTACATTTAAGTGAAGCTTAGCTTTAAGCACAGGCTGTGACATTTTCAATACATATTAAATGCTCCTTTTTCTTGATATACGTAAAAATAAGCAGTGGCCAGTATAAGTGGAGGTTAATGTGCTGTTCAGGTAGACATTCAACACAAGTGTTGGTCGTGGAAACCTTTTGGTATTTTTTTTAAGCTGCAAACATCTATTGACTATTGATAATTCCAATGTTTAACAGATCCTTTTTATATCAACAAGCATGGAAACAAGCTCTAAGAGAGATATTTTTAAAGACTAATCGGTGACAAAGCTCTAATAGTGGAGCAGTCATCATAGCAATCAATCGGATGTTGCTGCTGCCACTTTTACCCCACTTTTTCAACTTAGCTCTTAGATATTTACAAACACAAATATCAGGTAATACAATTTACTGGAATAGTCTGATGTAATTATTTTTGTTTTTTATCAATAAAAGTACTTTTTTAGTGGACCTGTTTGCTGCTGGATTTCTGGACTCCATATCCTTGGTGGTGATAATACCACCTAAGCCTATTGGACAGAGCAATCCCTATTTGCTCTATTAAATGTGAGTAGTTTTTTTCTATTTCATTTATTCATCACTTTTTACAGTCTATAGTGTTGTGGTTTTATTTTCTCTTTTACTTATATAATCGTATGAGAGACCACCAGCACCTATATCCTAGAGTGGGGATCATACCACTTCACGCCACTCTCTAGGCTCCAGAACATGTGAGTGCACATTTTTTATAGCGATATATTTTAATATTGAGTCTAGCATATTGCACTTTATAGCTCTGATAGCTCCTACATACCTGCAAGAGAAGCTGCATCTACAGATCCCCTATAGAGTCTGTGCTCCACTATATCCTCAGGTGGGGATTATTCCACCCAAGCATCTAAGTTAGAGCCTCACCTCAGCTCCTATAAAGTGTGAGTGCATATCATTTTATTTACCCTTACCTTACTGTATTTTGCTCGTACTTCACTATATTTCTATTTCTCTTCCTTTTTATGCTTGTATATACACACTCCAAGGACATTCCAGAGCCCACATTGTAATTTACTAGGAAACGGCTGTCATCGGTGGTCATCATGGAGAGATTTGAATGCTTATTAACATGAGTGTAGGATATGTGCAAGCACATCACATGCATATATTAATTTGAGTGAATGTAAGATATCCTTTTGTTTGTTTTGATTCTAGTGAGGAATGGTGAGTTGAAAGCACTAATGACTATCTTCTGTGCAATCAGGCTGACTGCAGAGCCAATAGTAGCTACATACTACTGGTAGTGATTTCTAAGAGGATATTTAATAAAGTGAGAATTTGAAGTGAATTTCAAATTTAAAACACAAAACAGAGACTTTTTCCAATTTGGATTTTCTGGCCTACATTTTGAAATTCTCTTTGAATTTACTTTGATTTACTAGCAATTCTCAATTTATTGAATAACCCTGTAAACGCTGACCTTAGTTAAATAAGCTATCAAAACCCCTGCAGCTATCAAAGCCCAGTACCATACAGTGAATATGGTAACACTTGAGGATGAGATGAATTAGTCCAACAACAGAAGTTGTTCAACTATCTTCAAACTTAATACCGTCTGTGCAGTTACATACATACCAGGATAATAATGTATTGAGGTAATCTGGAGTTGTGGGTTCGGTGCTAATAGGAGGGGATGTAACAAATGCTGCAGCCTTTGCCCAATTCTTACTCCAGTAGTGAGTTCCATCGGTGCCAAGACCAGCTGTAATCACCTCCCCATATATAACAGCACCTGGCAAGGAAAATACTGTCACTTCTCTACGACTGTACCTATTTTATTAACAAAGAGAACAACTGGCCATTATCAGAAGGTCCCACACATTATCATGACCCATAATATCTAGTTGAATTCTGGAATACTTTGTTTTAGAAAAAAGTACCAAACCTTTAACAATTTTTTAAAAATAATCTGAGCACCAGAAAACAGGGGGCAGAGCAAAAGGGCACTGGATACTGAAGCTAGGGTCCTGGTGGCACCATAACAACTTAATTCCAAAGACATTGTTATGCTGCCAAACGTGTTCCTTTAATGTTTAGTGATACTGTAGATGTAGGGGTTAATATTTAAGTGACAGTGTAGAGCAATATTTTAGTGTAGAGAATATTGTACAGGCAGCACCAGGACATACATATAACACCAGTACTTGAGTTGCAGTGGGAGTTGCAGTCCTGGGTAGCAGCTACCATTATTAAAATGTCAGAAGCTGCCATTCGAGAGTTTAACTCCCATTAATCACAGGCAAATCGGAACAAGCATGAAATAATAAGCAGGGCATGTAATAAATGCATATAATAATTTCAATGACTGACTACCCCTAACCCAACATGAACATATGGATGCAACATAACAAAACGTCTAATATAAAGTCACAACAACATATTAAACAGCCAAGATCAAGATTCTAAATAATCAGAAGCAAAATGCCAGTCATAATGGAGCACAAAATTAGATCTTGAAACAAAATGACAGGTAGATTCATTTAAGAAAGAAAATGAACATAAAACACAATTATGTGCAATAAATCAGAAGAATTGTAAACAAAGTCTAAGGCTTTTGTGTGGCTATGTATTTGATGAAGATAACGCAGAGTGACTTTAACAGCTAATTCAGATTGAGATTTTCTGCCCCAATGACCAGAGAAAAAGGCAGTGGTGTGAACCGTTGAAATATACACAGAATACATTTCACGGTTAAAGATCTCCACCCCTGTTTGAGAGAAGTTTAATGCTAAAATAGCTTTTTTAATTATTGTGTTTTTTTTCGGTTTTCTTTACCTTTTCTCTTCGCTTGGGCAATCACATCTGCAGCTCCTTTGCTCATGACTTTGGTGATATACAAGGGGCAGTTGGCTTGCTTTGCAATCGTTATTGCACGGTAAGTTGCCTCCGATTCTACCTAGTGTAACAAGCAATATGTCAAACGCAGTATTAATCAAGCACTGACAGAATCGTTAAAACAGAAAGTCTGGAAGTGAGAACATGCACAATGAGTTTATTACCTCCTCTGGGTGGCTTAGAACATGGCCTTCTGGTCCAGTGATCCCGAGCTCTAACAGACGCTTTTGTTCCTGTGTAACATAAAAATAAATAAATAAATAAATTCCATAGGAAAAAAAAAAAAAGAGTTAAATTTGCAGAGGAAACATTATTAACAAGTATTAAGTATCAAGGTTAACTCTAAATTTCATTTTACAAAGTAAGCAGAAGTCCAAAAAATATTGCATTATTAATGAATCTTGAAAATGATCTGTAATATTAAACATATTGAAATGTGTTAATTTACTGTATATGCACTGGTTAAGTACTAGGTACCTATCCTGCCATTCAGGGGCATTGCTAGGTAGCCCCTCCCACATATATTTACTAGCGCCCCATTCCCTAGCTCCACATCTAAACATGTTAATGAATTAAGAATACGATGTAAACGAATATTTATAAACACTACACTCAAAATATGGAGCATTAATATAAGTTTTGCTTTTATATCTTTCTAATTATTACATAGGACTCAGGGCAAACAATATCATTGTGCCAAAATCAGACTCAATGCTTTCTGGACCCAACTCTGGGCTCCAGCCATCCCCCACACCAATGCAGCATTTCTCCAGCCACTACTCACACCCAATCTATGCAATATACATTACAGCATACCACATGCTGTATGATTAACATGTACTCTAATTAAATTAACCTGCAAGAATCTATTTCACAAAACAAAGGACTGCTACAATTTATCGGTTTAAAACTCTTGTTGTTCCAGGCACTGTACTGGTCTAGTTACACCTTTGCAACTAGTATAATACTACACTTAGTAATGTACCAGCTACAACACCTACACCAACCCAACACAGGGGAGATGACACTATTGATGATAATTATGGTAAAAGATATGTGTTAAAGGACCACTCTAGGCACCCAGACCACTTCAGCTTAATGAAGTGGTCTGGGTGCCAGGTCCTTCTAGGGTTAACCCATTTTTTCATAATTATAGCAGTTTCAGAGAAACTGCTATATGAATGGGTTAAGCCTTCTCTAGTGGCTGTCTCATTGACACTAGAGCGCTTGCGTCTTCTCACTGTGAAAATCACAGTGAGAGCACGCGTCCATAGGGAAAGCATTGTAAATGCTTTCCTATGAGACCGGGAATGCGCAGCTCTTGCCGCGCATTCAACCGAGGCGGAGGAGGAGGAGAGCTCTCCGCCCAGCGCTGGAAAAAGGTAAGTTTTTACCCCTTGCCCCCTTCCAGAGCCGGGCGGGAGGGGGACCCTGAGGGTGGGGGCACCCTCAGGGCACTATAGTGCCAGGAAAACGAGTATGTTTTCCTGGCACTATAGTGGTCCTTTAACTCGCTAGCAGGCACATTAACCAAGTGTATACTGGACCAGAATAACAGTTTATGAGGAGAGCGTGAGGCCAGTATATATTAACTTCAGGTCACTTCCCACCTCTCTATGAAAAACTCAATGGTCACATAAACTCTACTACATTAAGAATCGTTGCCATCTCAGAAATGACCAAGGTGTTGGCTGCAATGAATGATGTGCTTTGAACGGTTTTCATGGGCTATCTTGTACTCCAATGGCTTGATGAAAGAGGATGCTATGTTTCTTAATGTCTGAACTGAAACCATCTGAACTGAAGATTAGAGTAAAATAGTCACTTGCTGTTAGTAAGTCCACCTTGCATCTTCTGGATAGTTACCAGTAGGTTATATGCTCATTAGGAACATAGCACATTTAGTTAAGGAAAAAACTGTAGAACCCATTCACTCTACCAGGTCACAAGGATGGCAGTGTCATGAGTCCCCAAGACCCTTCCTGCTCTCTCTTTGTGCGGGTGTTGGTGCTCTTCTCCACAGTATATCTCAGGCATCCTGGATCCATAATAGCTGCTGTCCACCTCGCTGGATTTTGGTAGTTAACCTCCTTTCACAATCCTACATGGATCTTCTGCTCGCTCTTCTAAAGCCTACCTCTTCAGACACGACTTATTGTTCTTCTTGTCCTACAGAATTTACCTGACCTTACCCTCTTACACATCCAACAGTCACTCAAACTCACTTGCTCCCATAATCACGCTGGTCCTCTCGCTCACATACAGCATTCATTCCACTCACATACTCCGCTTTTACAAAAGGAAAATAAAAATGTTCTTCATTGAAGTCTAATTCTCATATTACTGTACCTTTCACCTACTGACACAGTTACTATCCTAAACATAGACCTGCCCACCAGTTTCTTGAACTTCAAAACCCAGGTATCCATAATGGACTTTATTCAACAAAAAACAATTTCTGTTGGTGTGAGAAATTACTTGCAAACTCTAAGATACACTTTCAGGATTTACAAAAAGTCTCCTATTTAGTGGAGTTTTTTGTTTGTTTGTTTTTTTTCAGCAGCTGCGATTTCGGCCTTAATTATAAAGACTATTGACTGATATTGTTTTCTTTCATCGTACACAAGTTTGTGCACATCCATCATTGATACTAATTAGTAGTACAACCCAACTGGTAAATTGCATTAATGAGGCCAGAGATTGTAGCAGCCACGGCAGGCTTAGATTTGCAGAATTAAAAAATAATATAAATTCACAGATTATATAAATGATAGAACCATATGTAATGTCACCTGAGGATTCTGGCCCATAATTTGTTTTTGTTCTTTCCTTTCTGTACACTTTTGTTTCAAAATATTAAATAATTAACATTTACTTTTTTTTGTCAAAAGTACTCACTATTAAATAAAACATGCTGTTTCCCTTTTACAAACATGACATTAGTTGATAAAATCTCTCTTTAAAGTCATCAAATAAATTACGAGCTAGCACACGAGCCGAAGATAATCCTTCTCAGATTACTACCAAACAACATCCCCAAGCCAATAAGGAAAATTATATTCCTTCTACTGAGCTCACTGTCAACGCTAATAGCCAGAAACTGGAAGACTTACCATCTCCACATGGAATTGAAACCATAATGTCCTCGACAGTAGAATATGAACTCCTCATGTGGAACCAAACGAAAATAGGGAAATTGAGCCCCACCATTGCCACAATGTGGCGGACCTATCTGTGATCTACCAACAAGGAACCCAACCAGACCCCCTACACCCTGATAGGAAATAGTGCTTCCACCTCAGACAACCACACAGAGTAGGCACAATGGCATTCCTAACCAGAGTTCCTACAGCGCATACCCGCCCTGCAAGACACTGCAGGGTAACCTATCATGACTACAGATACTCTTTTTGAGCTCCACAGACGTATCAATGCCCCAGTACTATAACCTACCCATCCTCCCTTTCCAACTGCCCCTTGTTTTCCCCCCTCATCCCCTGTATGCTAAAGGCAAGCTCCGATAAAGAGCAAGATCCACCGCTCTGAGAACTGAACAGGGACCCTAGAACCCTGGGGTAATTGACAAGTCACACTATGTGAGACTCCGCAGAGCCCATACAGACGCATAAACTACTTCAAACACCTGTATTGAGCAACCCATACAGAATGCTCCCCAAATAGCTCTAGGACATACATGACAGTGGTACCCTTCCACACAGTAGATCTACACTATGAGAATCGAATGACCGAGTTAAAAGGGGACAACAGAGTTGCCCGTACTAGCCGAAGAACGTCATGAATACTCAATGTAACTAACAATGCATCGAAACTCTAATGTGTATGATACATAATGTACTGTACAATAACTGAATCTTTGGTGTTACCCTTCCCTTCTGTACCTCAGATGTTACTTGAAAACAATAAAGAACAAATTGGAAATAAAAAAAATAAATTCATCAAATGGAGAATGTTTTTACCTCTTGGATGATGTCACCATTCTCTGCATGCACTTGCGCTATAGCGCCCAGCTCACGGATAATGCTAAATATTTCATACATCTGTAAACAGAACAAGCATGTAATAAATTATAAATAAAAGAACCATAATTAAACATACGTCAAAGACTTAAGCAAGGCTGGACCTACTACCTGAGCAGCCCAGCACTCCCTCACTGTATTGAAAGAGTTTATGGCCAGCACGGATCACTGTAAGCACTTCCCTTTGGTCCTAGGCCTCTTTGTCACTTAGAGCATCGAGTTACCCGGTCAACACATAGTAATTCAGGAGTGCAGGAATAGAAAAAGTGCTCTACAACCATGGAAGTGCAGACTACATGACACACTTACCAGGCTGCAAGGATCATGATCCCACCACACCACTAGGGATCATAAATCCACCACATCCATTGTAAGAATGTGAGGAGGGGGGAAACAACACTTTTTACTCTTCGTACTAAAATAAAACATGGTAAGGCAGAAAAAATAGCATACACAGACATACAGCCTCAAACACAAACAGCCACTCCACACATAGCCTAACAGTCTCCATACACAACACACTACCTGTGCACACACATACAACACAGCCGTAAATGCATGACGTACCCCACAAAAATAACACCAAGTCTCCATACACACAACACGTAAAACTCATGCACACAGACTTCCCATATTAAACACATAAAAAACACAGCTTATCCAAACACAACACATTCAGCCTTCCCATTAACAGTAGCCCACAACCACCCAAATTCACACACAACAGCAACCCACAAACACACACAACCGATCTAGCAAGGCAGCCTTCAAATACATTGCTTTCTATTCATGCAGACTGACGCAGAAACACAGGAAAATACTGGTTAGGATTGAAAAGACAGTGAGAACGAAAAAAGAAATTGGAAAAGGAATAGCTGGAATATGACAAAGTTTGAGAACTGAGTCATGTGCAGCAAAAGATAGATAGAAGGGGAAAAAGACAAAAGGAGAAACTAGAGAGAGAAATGGGTGAGAAATTAAATGATAGATATAAGATAACCAAGGACGCATATAAAGCCTTTGCACTGGCTCAGGACATAAGTAATCACAATAACGTACTTTACCTCAGCATCTGTGCATTGATGTTTGTCTTTGTACGCCATATATACCAGAAAGGAATTCACACCTTAGAAAAAATGATATCATAGAATGCTTCAGGGGACTAAATGGAACCATTTCAAATGTATGTGCAGATAAAAATACAATATACAATGACCACATTAATAAATAGGGATCACTTTTATTTGTCTAATAAAACAAGAAAGATTTCTCATATTGAGGAACTTGCTAAATGCGCTAACGGGAAGCAGAAACAGCCCATCACAAAGATTGTATACAAAGATTTATTAATTGTGGTGACTAAAGATTCTATTCAGTAAATAGGACTTTTAATAGTGACAATTAAAAAATATATATAATTAATAATAGTGGTGTAGTAAATTTTGTAATATTTCAATTGGTTCACTTGGTTTTTGGAGACCACTTTTTGGAGTTGTTTTTTTTGAGTCCAATATCTCTAATACTCAAGTAACCATTTTCATGACATTAATATGGCCTTCAATTAAATTAAAGCAGAGATTTTTAAAACAGACATAGTGTTAAGAGGGGCAGTGACTAGGAGGCTCAGGTAGTCAGAATAGAAAATAGGGGTCCTATATTATTAATCATTATACTAAGTTATAAACTTCTTAAAATGGTTACAAGCTGCATGCAGAATTCAGCTACTCTTAAAAGCTACTTTTAAAAAAAATTGTGGTAATGTTTTTCTTACATAAAAATTGCTATCATCCTATTTCCATGATATGTGTACGGAAATGGAAATTAGTCTCATCTTACATGTGTCCAAACAGACCAGTGGTACTCTGGGTTGCTGTCAGAATTTGGTCCCTTTTGCTATTTTATTGGGTTCCCAGTGGTTGGATTGTGTGCATCATATCAGACTCCTGCCACTGATAGATAATAAACAGTTTCCTGTACCAGCTCTGCAAACCCCAATGCAACAATGACCCCTTTAATGAATGGGATTCATTTTACCATAAATTTTATTACTGGATGGACCGGATCCCTGTGAGCACTCCCTCTCGGTCAGGGTCACTATGAATATTTTACACTTGGAGAATAAGTCAACAAGGTTATACCATGGACATCATTGGAGTCCCTATCACAAACCATTGAAATAAACATTATCTCTTTAACATTTAAATATTTATACCCATTTGCCATGTCTGGGATAAGCTGGCATACAAGCAGTGGCAGAACTTAATTACTTTGCAAGCCTCAAGCAAGCTGCCCCACTCTTTGTAGACATGTTTAGGAGTCAGGTAAAAGATATGCAAGGTGATCAAGGATGTGCAAATTTGATATCCTCAGGTAAAGGTATGTTCTGGCCACATCATCTTGTCTTAAATGACTCTCCAGGTACTAAACATGCATGATGTGCTTTATGATAAACTCAGTCTTGATTTGTGGAGTAGTACCCCCATGAGGGCCCAGATATGGACTGTGAAGCACAATACACAATTCTCTTTCCAAAGTGAGGATGCCTCACACATAAGTGCATGAATTTTGAATAAAAATAACTGAATACAACACAAAAGATACTCAATTCTTCAAATAACAATGTAACTAAGCTTACCTTTATCCTTCACCAATGCTTCTAGTTCTTCTTTAAGACTTTCATGCCAATGGGTGATGTCAACATGCAGTGAATAATCACAGCAAACCTTCCCGTCAGCCCATTCCCTCCACTGGTCATAAGCTGCAACCAGACTCATTCCAGGATCAGGGAAGACGTGATCAACTGAAACAACGAGAGATTGAGCAGGTGTTACAGAGTAATCGTGAAGATCATGTGATTAACATGTGATATAGAGATGGTCAATATTCTTTGGACAAATTTTTGAGTAAGCTATTGCGTCACAGTCACTGCATTAAGGTAGGAATGTCATACCTCTAAATAGGTAGGACAGACTGTTTGAATGAGACATCTGAGTGTTCTTTTTAGATACCAGTCTCTATATACCTCACTCAAAATGTCTACTAAATGGGCAGTGGCATCACAAGAGGTGTGCGGGTGGTGTGGACCGCACCAGGGAGCCCAGTGCTCCCTCCTGCCAGTCGCTCAGTCAGTGTAGCGTGGCCGAGCGGAGCAGTGCATACCGCAGTATAGAAACTTCTGTTTCTCGTACCCGGCCGGACTGAAAGGAAGTGCTCACTGAGAAAGCACTTCCGGTCAGTTCGGCCGGGTACAGGAAACTGAAGCTCAGGCATGCTACCAGAATGGTGAGAGAAACACTGGGAACGAGAAGAGGTTGGGGTAGTACACTATAGGACGGGGGGGGGGGAGGTGGAAAGAACACTATGGAACAGGGTAGGGAGGGAATTAAATAACACTATAGGACAGGGAGGGGGGGGAAGAACACTATTGGAGACGGGGAGAAACTATGGGACACGGAGGGGGGAAAGAACACTATGGGATGGGGAGAACACTATGGACAGGAGGGGGGGGAAAGAACACTATGGGACAGGAGGGGGAAAAGACAGGGGAGGGGGAGGAAAGAACACTATGGGACAGGGGAGGGTGAGAAAGAACACTATGGGACACTGGGGAGATACTAGGGGGGAGACAGAGGAACATTAGGGGGTACTAAGGTAGAAAGGAGGAAAGGGAAAAGGAACACACATAGGGGGGGCAGTAAAAGAGAAAGGAGAGGAACACTAAAGGGGGGACATTAATGGGAATGAGGGGCACTAAGAGACAGGTATGGGGGGAAAGACGAACACTAAGGGACAGGGGAGGGAGGGGAGAGGAATACTAAGAGACAGGGGAGGGAGGGGAGAGGAACACTAAGGGACAGGGGAGGGAGGGGAGAGGAACACTAAGGGACATGGGAGGGAGGGGAGAGGAACACTAAGGGACATGGAGGGGGTTGGGGTGACACCGTAAGTTACCGCACTGGGTAACACCAACCCTAGTGACATCACTGTGAATGGGGAAAATATTTTTTGGGGTAAAGCTATATAATTTGGTTTGTAACTGAATTAATGTGTTGTGATCCAAGAATTATTGCTAGTTTTTAATATACGGATCCACATGTTCCTGAACCTACAGCTTAAAGATAACTATAGTAATATGTTTGCTAGAAAGAAAACCCTTTGTCATTTGACTGAGCCTTTATTTCTAGCGGACATGAATAAATCGTATATGAATAGTAATTTGTACGGTCCAACCCTTTACGGCATAAAATTATTTTCATTCAAGACCTATTCTGATGCACAGGTTCATTTGAATGAGCAGCCTCTGTTGCTCCAGAACAAAGAAAAGAAAAAAAAAAAGATAAATTCAGGTATGGCAAGTCCACTGCATTTTAATCTGTGCTTGTCGTATGATACATGCTAAGTGGCAAATATATATGAACTGTATATAAATATAGTGAGATTGATATAATGGGTACATACTTATCGTTGTGGTTCCTCCAGCAAGTGCAGCTTTGGTCCCTTGAAAGAAGTCATCAGCACTGGTCATGCCCATTGTGGGCATCTGTAGTCTTGTATGAACATCTATTCCTCCAGGTATAACCAGCAAACCATGGGCATCAATTGTCTTTACCCCACCGGGGACAATCAGATTCTCTCCAATTTGTCTAAAATGTTCATTTGACAACACAAACAGAATATATGAAACAGGCTTGGCATGGATGCTCTTCAACAATCCAGAATAAAAATTATTGTATTTCTTATACAAAGAAATAATCTACTTATTATTATCATCATCATTTATATAGCACCAACATATTCCATTGCGCTTTGCAATTATAAATAGTGACAAAGACCCCGCTCAAACGAACTTGCAATCTTTGGGATTGATTAATATTGCTTTAAAAAAATGTTAAACTTACTTTATTAATCCATCTTCAATATAAATATCTGCAGCAAATGACTGATCATCGTTCACTATCTTCCCTCCTTTTATCAGCAACCGGTCACTCTGTAAAAAAGGAAATAACATTTTTTTATATATATAATAGTGTTTGTAGGTGTGATTATACATTGAAAAAAAAAATTAAACCTATGGGACATTTTAAAGGACCATGTCATACCTAAGATAATGGAGTCCTTTTTTTTTTATCTGCCTATAATTCAATCTATACATTTTATTATTCCATAAGCACTTTAGCCCCACTGCCATGCTCTGTAATCCTGTATACTTTACTCATGGGATAAAAAAATATGAGACCTAACTATCATTTTAACCCCTTAAGGACCAAACTTCTGGAATAAAAGGGAATCATGACATGTCACACATGCCATGTGTCCTTAAGGGGTTAAAGTACCCTGTCATGCATTAGATGTTGGGAATCCTGCTTCTACCTGCTGATAATTGTATCTATAACTTTGATATTCCATGAGCATGTTGAAAGGCATCTTATTGGTTTCCATGGTGACGTGGACTAATTTAGCAATTTGCCAATGAATAGCAGCTATTTTTAACTCTCCATGCCCTCAGGCATACTAAAAGACTGACAGTTTACCTGGTTCCAGCGCATGGAAGAGCTATGCACTATGGAGGAGCTCACCATGCTAAAACTCAGACATATATGGCAATCTGGACGCAATAGATTCTCACGGTGGAGTCTGCAGATTTCTGCACCCTGTTGCACTGATTTTTCCACACTTACCCCCCTGAATGCCCCCCTGTGCCCACTCTGTGTCGGACAATAAACGTTGCTCTACAAACCGATCTAGGCACCATTTGCAGCTTTCGGAACCTGTTCTTATGTTTGTTGTCTCTTCCTATATATTAGCTAGATGGGATCTGCACATCCACTCACATCTTGTCATGGATTATTGAGGTACCTCCGCGTACCAACTATACAAGTAGTTGCTTGAAACAGTGCCTGCGAGCACAAACTCAATGCATTCTTATGGTTAAAAGGTACCTGTGCATACCACTGCATGGTCCATAAAGGGCTTCTGAAATCAGCTCGACTTTGCACAACAAAATTCAAATAAAATTTAATTTAGAAAAAAAAAAAGACAAAGTTTGAGAGTAGCAAAAGGTGAAAAGTAGAGGCTGGTGGGAAGGCATACAATAAAGACCAAGTAGGGAAACAGACTCTAAAATTGAGCAAACAAATGGTAAGATAAAAAAGTAGAACACAGAACTTGAGATATTGTAAGATTAATGATGATGAACAAATTGAAAGAAGGATACAATTATGTGAAATAAGATTAGATGGGGTACAATAATGTGAAATCTAACAGTGCTTTTCATTTGTGTGGGCATCTAATGTGAGTTCAAAGTGAATTTCAAATTTAAAGGGACACTATAGTCACCAAAACAACTTTAGTTTTGGTTTATTGATCATGCCCCTGAAGTCTTAATGCTCTGTTCTCTGCTATTTAGGGATTAAATCACTTTGTTTATGCAGTCCTAGTCACACCTCCCTGCCTGTGACTTACAGAGCGTCCCTAAACACTTCATGTCAAGAGTCATCTAATCTTTACACTTACTTGATTGCACAGTCTGTTTAATCTAGAATTTATTACCTCATGCTCTGTTAATAGCTTACAAGCGTAACAGGAGCCTCCAGTATGTGATCAAAGTCCAATTTACAGAGCAGGAGATAAAAATGTTTAAATTAAGTTACATCTAATTAAAAATGAATTTTTTTTTCATGCAGGCTGCCATTTAACTTTTAAATGGCAGATAATTCAGCAGTGAGACTGCAGGGGCATGATCTACACAAAAACTCATTTGTTAAACTAACGTTGGTTTGGTGACAATAGTGTCCTTTTAAGGTCAAAGTAGCCAAACTGGAAGGATAGTTTGGCTATGCTGGCCTTACATTTGAACTTAGCTTTAAAGGAACACTATAGGGTCATTAACACAAACATGTATTCCTGACCCTATAGTGTTAAAATCACTATCTAGTCTCCCTGCCCCGCCCACCCGTCTCTCCTAAAAATAATAAAATCTTACCTTTACTTGAGTCTCCTGCTGCTGGCTCTGCCTCTAATCTGCCTGCATGGCTGACATAATCAGAAGTGATGTTCTGAGCTAATCACAATGCTACCACATAGGAAATCATTGGATTGGCTGAGCTTGTCAAGGAAGCAGATCAAGGGCAGAGCTAGCACAAGCCAAACACAGCCCCGACCAATCAGCATCTCCTCATAGAAATGCATTGAATCAATGCATCTCTATGAGGAAAGTTGGAGACTCTGAATGGCAGTGCTACATTGTGCAGCACTGTGCCAGGAAGCACCTCTAGTGGCCATCTGAGGAGTGGCCAGTGGAGGTATCCCTAGACTGTAATGTAAACACTGCCCTTTCTCTGAAAAAAACTGTGTTTACTGTAAAAAGCCTGAAGGGAGGGTTTCTACTCACCAGAACAAATACAGTAAGCTGTAGATGTTATGGTGACTATACTTTGAATTCTCACTTTAGTAAAAAAAAAGTAAGACCATATATGTCTGTAAAGGGAGTTCCATACATGATTCGTATGGAACTGAAATAATAATATTAATCAAATCTGCTTCTTAGGGTTACATTCACTAAGCACTGAATTGAGACTAAAATAGCAGGATTTAGGAAAAAAAAATGGCAATTCTACAATTATTTCTTTACAATTCAGTGTTTATTATATAAACCCCTTACACACTTTTGCTTAAACTGTGTAAAACAATACAAAGAAAAAATGGATAGGAGTGGTCGTTACTATATATCAATCCACATAGCTATATGTTTCATGCCACATTGGTCAGCCAATCCAACTGGCAGAGTAACCATCTGAAACCAGTTGAGTGTCCATGCACTCTTCAGTTTGTAGAAATCTAAAGCAAACTCTGAAAGGGTAATTAACTAAAGTGAAAACTCTAGGTGAATTCAATGTGAATTTCAGATTTAAGGCCAAAGTAGTTGAACTGGAAGCTTACTGTGAGAATATATCCAGTTTGGCTATTTTGGCCTTAAATTTGGAATTCACTTGGAATTCCTGACAACTCTACTTTTAAACAAACTACCCGTTTTTAAAAACTCTCTTGGCCTACTTTACCAATAGGATCTCTAACCCCTTAAGGACAAAACTTCTGGAATAAAAGGGAATCATGACATGTCACACATGTCATGTGTCCTTAAGGGGTTAAAAATCAAATTTGAACTTGTGACCAAATGTAGTGGCTACACGACTAACGAGGCACTAGAACAGGGATAGGCAACCTTCAGCACTCCAGATGTTTTGGACTACATCTCCCATAATGCTCTTACACCCATAATGCTGGCAAAGCATCATGGGAGGTGTAGTCCAAAACATCTGGAGTGCCAAAGGTTGCCTATGCCTGCGACTAGAATATGATCCTATGAAGCTCATATGCCTAATGTAGGTACATGACTTCATTTTGCTTTCTGAAATGAGACAATACACTGGAGGACTGTATCAAAGGGAGCCAACAGTCTCTTTCATGATAGGTCCTTAAGTCAAATTAATTATGCATGTTTGCATTTATTACCATGTAGACATATATACTTTTTCCATATGCATCATGAGTTAAACAGGTGTAATGCATACAAGGTAATTTATTTAATAGTCTTCTGGCACATATAGGGTTAACTACAGTTTCATGTCGGCATTAACCATAGCCCATATTTGTAAGGTCCCCTCAGTAAAATCAAGAAGAAAGCTCCTGGAAACTTGTACAGGGCAAAACATGACATTAGGTTTACCCACAAGTTTTTAATTTGGCGCTGTGGTTGACACCTGCAGTGGCTAGTCGTTAGGAATTCTAAGCTGCTTACATGAATGTCTTTAGTTTACATGGTTATATAGTCAATAATGATACATAAGGGGGCTTATTCCTTAAAGACTAAATTGTAGTGATTATAAAAACAATACTGTAAAATGTATGCAGTTAGCTAGAAATTGTAACAAATATATGCAAATATAGTATTGGACATGCCAAGAATGGAGTACATTGGCTTATGCAATGTATAATCATATACTGTAACTACATTCCCATATTTTTGCCTAAATTAGGTGTAAATACATCCTGTGAGGTTTGAAATTGGTGTTTAGGTAGTGGGTGAGTTGAATCTTGTAGATGTATATATATATATATATATATATATATATTATTTATATTTATTCTGATTACAAATGGTGACAATTATGGGGGGGGGGGGGGGAGGAGGGGGATGGGGCATTTCAGAAAATACTTCTTAATGCCTTCACCAGACACTATTAAATATAATCGGTTTATTTTGTGGCATTCCAGGCAAATGAACACATTAAGACAGGCCACCCAACACTGAAGGAGTTAATGTGCAGCATTTAAACCTTTCAGATTAGATATACTGTAATTTACTCATTCAGTCTAAAAAAAAAACACCACCACTACAAACAGAACCTAGCATATGTATTTGGATACAAAGGCACAAACTTGACCTAGATTGCATTTTCCTTGCTAATATCAGTCACTCACTATTAAAGTGAATGATATATTTTGGTGTGGCCTGAAATATTCAAGATCTACAATATAGAATTCTTCTGTAACCTAAACACCTTCTATATCACATATCATATGGCATCATTTCAAGAGGAAAGCCTGTGCCTGCCACTGAATGGTCCAGAACGTTAGAATGATTCATCATCTGATAGAAACATCCAAGATTCCTTAACATTAAGCATACCCACACCTTCTAATGATGTATCCAGTTATCAGGATACAATTTGTACTGACACTTATCATGTAATATTGTGATATCTATATGTGCTTTATGTATCATTATTATTATTATTAAGATTTATAGAGTGCCATGGCTGCCTTAACCCCCTAGCTGCCATCCTTGTTTACAGTAGGTCCTTGTATCCATGTAAACAACCTACCCCTATTATTACCCAGGACCCCCTGCACCCCCTATGCTGTGTGCAGAGAGGGATGCTGATACAGTGATGCTCTGTACAATGTATATTAGCTTCCTGTAAGGCCTGCATCCCCCCTCATCATGGCAGCTGGTCACAGCCTTGCAATGTCCTCTCTCCCTCTCTTACCGTGATCTTAGGGATGCTTTTTTTCCCCTGGTAAGACATGGTGGTCAGGGAATTGGAGTCCTAGCGGAAGGTAGCGTCCTTGGGTGTGAGTTTCCTTCCTTATTGTACTTGGCTGGGTTAGTCACTGGGCTCAGATGGGGGTGGGGGATCTTTTTGTTGTGAGAGGTTGTGTGCCTCCCCCTGCACTTGGAAGCATTCGCTCTGGCTCCAGCGAATCCTTGATTACAATTCGAGCCTCATCCTTCTTCAGCAGCAAGCAGACTCACCGGAGGGGCCTCTCCTAAGGCCTGGAGCCAGCCCACCTCCCCCATCACAGGGCAAACAAAAGCCATCTCTCCCATGGCTGGCCTGCACACTCTCCAGGCACAGAGAGAGCAGCCGCAAGAGATTAACTGTGCAGGTGCAGGGGCTACATTGTATCATTTTATCATCAAACTAATGAGTCATACATTGCCAAGGAGAAACCCCTGGGAACAACAACAACAAGGGCATTACACTATTATTATTATTATTATTATTAATATAATAATAAATAGATATTATGGATACATTGTATCATCTTATCATCAAACTAATGAGACATACATTGCCAGGGAGCAATCCCAGAGAAACAAGGACATTGAACTTGATCAAACAAAATAGTTTATAATTATAACTATTACTATTATTATTATTTATACTAATTAATAGATATTATGGATACATTGTATCATCTTATAATCAAACTAATGAGTCATACATTGCCAGGGAGCAATCCCAGCAAATAAAAGCATTAAACTTAACAAATAATAACTTATTATTACTATTATTAATATAATAATTAATAGATATCATGGATACATTGTATATTCGTATCATCAAACTAATGCAGACATTTTACATTGCCAGGGAGCAATCCCAGAGAAACAGGGACATTAAACTTAACCAAACAAAATAATAGGTATTCGAATTACTATTATTATCAGTAATTATTAATTGTATAAATGCTGGATACTATATGTGAATTCATTTAAATATCCACTCATTAATCTGTGGATGTGAAGGAGTTAAGTTTTGGTATCGCTTTAATTAGTCCTGTGTTTGCGTGGTATACAAATTATTCAGTCTAATTCTTCTAAATTAGGACAGTTCAGCATAGTAACAGATGCCACCGTGGATCTACAATCAACAGAGACATGGCTGCTTTGTGTATACAGTAGTACTGGTGGGTCTTATGAGGTCGATTTCTGTTTTACTGTGCTTGAAAAGTTACAACTGCCATTGCAAAAAATATTTCAGAAATAAAACATACACCTGTTTATTAAACCACATAGATACACACATTGCCACACAGTGCTTTTATGTTCTAAATGATAAATACTATATATACACACATACATTCACACAGAGATTCCTTAATAATTACCACATTTAAGGAATTACTAAATTAATGCTAATGGTTTAATCTCATACAGTTCATACAAGATAATGTTTGGTTTAGAGAGCTGCTCCCAATATCTGCCTTGCACCTATTTCAGAATATCGCCAATATTTAGAAAAGCTATATAATGCATTACCTGTATATTTGGAGGTGTCAGCACTTCTTGTGCAGGGTCTTCTGTTGTCATAAGGTCCATTTTGCCATCTCCAAGTTCCTCCATGAGTTCTCCACTGCCCTTCTCACTCCTAGACTCTTCATGACCATCAGATTCTGGACAGGAGCTACTCACCTCCACCTTCTTGCAGACACTTTTCTTCCTGGGACTCAGAGAACTGAAGTCTATGCTTTTATTTTCAAATGCTCCTTCCACATTACAGAACATGCCTCCATATTTCTGCCTGGGTTTTGGACTTCCTGAACCCAGTTTGGAAAAGTAACTGGGAACCTCTCCATTTACCTTATCGTTCTTACTCCCCTCTGCCATGACTGCTGGAGAAGGTCTAGCTATGTAGACCAGTCTGTCAGATAATGCAAAGTGAAGTGTCTTGTTGGGCTGCCACACACAATTTGAGGAAGCACTGTCTACAACGTGTCACATAACAGCCTCAGGTTATCTCCCAGCTGGGAGCTTCTTTTAGGGCCGAGTGCACTGTCCAATGGGTGTGGTGCTGAATACTTGCCTGGGACACATAATAAAGGGATTTATTAGGAATCTGGTCAGATACCATTTCCTTTACTATAAACTACAAACATAGTATACACCTGTTATTTATTTTCAGTTCAGCCAATTGCATGTATATTTTACATGTATACACACACCATTAACAAGAGCATGCATCCTTTGTTTTTGTTTTTTTTAATTTATTGTATTTTTTCAAATATAGATAAAGTGTTGGTCAGAATTTGGCATCTATGGACAGCAGGAAGATTCAAGTGCAGAGTCGTAGTTGTGTGTATATCTATCTACTAGTATTATGAGCCTGCAATCCAGGGTATAAAATCGTTGATGACTGTTGCTGATCCGCAAACGGTATACATGGCAAAAATTTATATCACTCCAAGGACTTAAAAAATAAAAAACATAAAATTTAGCTTTACAAAATAAAAATATCGACCGTTTCTGTTTTATCAGAAAATTTCGATCAGGACAAAAGCTTCTCACATACATACATACACTGGTTATATGCTAATAAAAGAAGCAAAGTACTCACCCCCTTCTCGTGTATCGTGCAACTGCTGCGATTTGGCGCGTAACTGTTACAGGGCCGCAGGCTTGCACACACCAGCGAGGGTAGCCCCACTGGTGACGTACATGCCACCTAGTTATAATGACGACTGGAACAGGCAACTAACTCGCAGTCACATGTAGGCTCACGTCACTCAGGGAAGCATCCCTAGTCATTTGGAAGGCTTGCATTCCAACCAGTATGTATGAAGCTTTTATCCTAATAAAAGCTTTATTATAAAACTGAAACATCGATATATCTTGTAAAGCTAAATAACAGCTAAGTTTTATTTTACAATAAAAAGCTAAGAACAGAATTACCTACACACCACCCCAAATACATATGCATATTTAGACAAATGGAGGATTTTTGTTTCACTCCAATGGCCATGAGAGGGTATGCCCACCTGCCACGTCAAGGCAGACGTCTTAGGTGGGTCTTTGATGCCTTGACGTGGCAGGTGGGCTTACACCTAATGGCCATTGGAGTGAAACAGAAATCCTCCATTTGTCTAAATATGCATATGGATCTGGGATAGTGTGTAGGTAATGCTTTTCTTTGGTTTTTATTCTATGTATTGTGGCTGATATGTACTATGGTCATTGCTGCTGCCCAAGAGTAGTGGGAGTCTGAGTGCAGGACTTATTTTTGTGTATTTGTATAAGTTTTATTTTACACCTAATAAAGTCCTTACAGTGCTATATTGTTTTGCTTTGTATATCTATCTATCTGAGTATATATATATATATATATATATATATATATATATATATATGTATATGTATATATATATATATGGGTAGAGAAGTGGCAGCACTCAATGTCTTCCATAAAATCAGTTCTTTATTGTAACAAGATTAAAAGTGTTCAATGTTTCAGTCCTTTCCCAGGACTTTTCATCAGGATCAATATCTTCTTATTGATCCTGATGAAAGTCCTGGGAAAGGACTGAAACATTGATACCACCTTTAATCTGGTTAAAACCGCATTTCGGTTTACAAATTTTTCGCAATAAGAAACGTCCCGGAGAATGCATTAAATTTGTGAACCGAGGTCCCACTGTATATATACCTTAGCAGGTCTTAAAATTAGGTAAATACAACCTGAGATGAACAACAGCACATGACATATTACACTTTCATAATTTATTTAACAAAATAAAGCCAAACAGGAAAAACTATATGTGAAAAACTAAGTACACCCTTACTGCTTTCATAGGAATTAGGAGGCTAAGTAGCAAACAGGTACTGCTAATAAAATGCCCTTGATGAATTGATCACTATTAAAGGGACACTCCAGGCACCAAAACAATGTAATCTAAATAAAAGGTGTTATGATACCATGATGCCCCCGGAGGAATTCTGACCTCAAGGGGTTAAACCATTTTCAAGCAGCTTAACCCCAAAGATGTCTTCAGCTCTGGTCTCAGCTCCTCCCCAGGAGGCATCCGGTTTTTGAATATTCACTTACAGAAAGCACGGATTGCCATGGGCCAGGGTCACTACTGACAGGCTGAGAGCCAAAGACTCCCAATTCACTAAACTGGCTTGCAAAGAAACATACATTTAGCAGGCCATTTCAGTGAATGGGGAGTCACTGAATAATACAAATATTTTGGTTTTACCATATTTATACACCAGAACTGTATGTTGTCATGAATATTAGAATTAAAAACAAAATCAGTCAAGCATTTGGCCACCTAAATATAGCTGCAAGAGGAAATTAAGGTAGATAAACTTGGGAGCATGGATGTAGCCCATGCGCAGATATCATATGTTATGTAAGTTGCAACATAGTTCAGTAGTGAAATGCAAATGTATCCAATTTTTGGACACATTGAAGGTAACCAGATTGCATCTTCCATTTTTTTTTCATCTTAACTTGCTTTAAAGGAAGACCTAGCTGTGAACGAGTGAGAAATTTCCCATTGTAATCTTACACAGCAGGTTGTAAATCTATAACCTATGAGAAGACTCCTGACTAGTTGTTGAAATGGTTTGCCAAAATAGGTGCCATGTGACCTATGACCATTATGTTGCACAAGGTATACAGGGAGTGCAGAATTATTAGGCAAGTTGTATTTTTGAGGATTAATTTTATTATTGAACAACAACCATGTTCTCAATGAACCCAAAAAACTCATTAATATCAAAGCTGAATATTTTTGGAAGTAGTTTTTAGTTTGTTTTTAGTTATAGCTATGTTAGGGGGATATCTGTGTGTGCAGGTGACTATTACTGTGCATAATTATTAGGCAACTTAACAAAAAACAAATATATACCCATTTCAATTATTTATTATTACCAGTGAAACCAATATAACATCTCAACATTCACAAATATACATTTCTGACATTCAAAAACAAAACAAAAACAAATCAGTGACCAATATAGCCACCTTTCTTTGCAAGGACACTCAAAAGCCTGCCATCCATGGATTCTGTCAGTGTTTTGATCTGTTCACCATCAACATTGCGTGCAGCAGCAACCACAGCCTCCCAGACACTGTTCAGAGAGGTGTACTGTTTTCCCTCCTTGTAAATCTCACATTTGATGATGGACCACAGGTTCTCAATGGGGTTCAGATCAGGTGAACAAGGAGGCCATGTCATTAGATTTTCTTCTTTTATACCCTTTCTTGCCAGCCACGCTGTGGAGTACTTGGACGCGTGTGATGGAGCATTGTCCTGCATGAAAATCATGTTTTTCTTGAAGGATGCAGACTTCTTCCTGTACCACTGCTTGAAGAAGGTGTCTTCCAGGAACTGGCAGTAGGACTG